CTTGCTTTTCCATACAGAATGACAAGTGCCGGAGCATCACAAAATCCGAGGGGGTCTCGTTAACCTCTCTGGTTTGACCCTGTTTTATGTGGGGTGTTCCAGCTCGGTGCACTGGCCATGGGACAGGAGCAGGTCCCTTGAGGTGTGGGCTGTCCGAGCAGCCTGCTGTGGCCACCAGCCCAGCGCTCCAGCTGGCTCTGAGCCCGCTCTCGAGCTGTCCCCGGGCGCGTGAGCTGAGCGCGGCCTCAGCACTGACTGTGGGCCTGGACCGGTGTCCAGAGGCACAGAGACTGGGCTGCCATGGCCTGGCGTGGGGGAGCAGCTCATCAGCTGCACACACACGGGCACACAGACACACGTGGGGCCTGAGGAGTGGGGCAAGGTGAGAGTCAGGGCGTACTGTGGTCCTGTGCTTCCACCCGAGGAAGCTCGGCGGCTCATCAGGTGGGAGAGGTTGGGCACCGTCGGCGTTCACCTCGTGAGATGTGCATGCCCAGGGAGGTGCCAGAGCTCTGTCTGTCTGAAGGACACCATCCCTGGGTGACCAGCAGCCTTGGCTGGCTGCTGTCAGTCTTTGGGACAGTGGAAGGGCTTCAAGGAACTGCCCCAGAGGTTTGTGTTCCAAAAAAAAAAGCTCCATGATTTTTAAGTGCCACCATTTGTAGGAATTGCAAGAATCCCTTTTTTCCTGTCTCGTTCACATATGTATCTCCTGAATTGCTGTGACTTCAGATTTGAATGAACCTTAGGCTGGATTTAACTGAGTAAAAGACAGGGGAACCTATTAAATTTTACCTGAGCATAGTGAAGCAGATTTTCTTCATATTTCTTTCTAGCACTGACACAGATGACAAAGTGCTTGTAACTGCAAGTTTGCAAGTAAAGTACAGATCTATCTTTAGCAGCAATGTCTGGCATACTAGGGTCCATCCTTGTAGGCAGGTTTTGCTCTGTCCACTCAAGTAATTTCCCTCTCTCTCAGATAGCTGGTGGAGAAAGTGTCTTGGTCGTCTCATGGAGGATATTTTAATTTTCTGCTTGGCTTGGCTGAGCAGCTGTGATTTCAGGATGATTGGTTGGATTTGCATAAGGTCATTAAGATCCAATAATGATGTTTATTGCTAAGACATCTGCCACTTACATTCATGCAGAGCAAGTAAAATTAAACCTCGACTAACGTCACTGTTATTACCAACGCAGTTAATGCCAACAGTAAATGCTGTCAACAGGTGAAGATTTCACAGTGGTCTGTAGGTAAGAATGTCTTGAAACTCTGTACCCTCTGGAGAGATGGTAGGCAGTGTGAGCCCAGCAGGCTCTCTTTGAGCAAATCCTGATTGGGTTGTTCCTGGGGCTGTGTTTGGGCAGAAGAGGGAGCAAGATGCACACAGTGCTGAGCGGTACCACTGCGGCATCCGGGAGCTGTGCACGTGTTGCATCTGGCTGGGAGAGCAGCACAATGTGTGTGTGTGTCCTGAAGCTTCTTCTGTCCTGGTTCTCTTCAGCTGTGGCTCAGGTGCTTCAGCTGATGGACTCTGCTGTGACCCGTCTCTCTGTAGATGTGGCACTTGGGGACATGGGTTGGTGGTGACCTTGGCAGTGCTGGGGGGATGGTTGGACTCGATGATCTCAGAGGGCTTTTGCTGCCTAAACAATTCTGTGATTCTTCAGTGGATTGCAGAAGTGCTTGGGTTTGGTTGCTGTGAGGTAAAACCAGGGCTTTGCTGGGGACTGAATTCTGCAAACCACGAGGAAGTAGAGTGCTGCTGGGTTTTGTCTTCCTGTCCTCATCAGAGATGAGAGCTGGTACCTGAGGTAGAACCCATTTTATTTTTCTATAATTCCAAAGGCATAAGACATGTATTAACTCCAAACTATAGCCAGTCTGCTTCCCTGAAAATCTGTCCCTGACTTCCACCTGAGTTCACTGCTTCCTGTAACAGTGGCCAGCAGTTAGTCATCTGTCTTGCTTTGGCAGGAGATCCTGTTGTGTTACCATGGGGTTGATTTGAAGTTGTGTCAAGGATTTGCTGAACAGTAGTGTCAGGAGCACAGCCCGTTCTGGAGGGGACCCCAGCAGGCTGTAAGAGCTCCCCCTCAGCTCTAGGGTAGCCCCTGCAAACCAGGAGCAGTGTGCGAGGAGGTTCCTGCTGCGTGTCTCACTGCGGCTGATGGAAGGGGCTGACACGGCCCCTCACAGCTGGTGATTGTGGCTCAGGGGCTTGCAAGGGGTCTCAGTGAGCAGGAGTTTTGTCAGTCAGCACAGACAAGCATTCAAAAGCCTCTGCTAGGGTGGGGAAGAGCTTCCTGAATCGCTTCTGTGCAGTCCTCGTCAAAGAGGAGCATGAAGTCTGACCCAGATTCTCTGCTTCTGGATGCCTTTGGCCAGTGGTGGATTCACTGCTGGCACATCTCTGCCAGTCATCTCCATAGACTCTTCAGGCTAATCGCTGCAGGGATTGCCTTTAATCTTTTGACACCCTCGTCCAAGCATTCCTGCCTCTCCACATTAACCAATTAAGTTATTAGCTCTTAATACCTAAAAATCTAGACCTTCTGTGCCAGAGAGTAACAGAGAAACAAGATTAGGGAGACTGCTTCCAAAGCCTAGCATTTCCCAGCGGTGTTTGCAGCTGATCAGAGCCTGAGAATGTCAAGCAAAGAATGGGCCATGAGATGAGGAAAACCCTAAAACAATTCAGAGTGAAAAAGATCCCTGAAGAACATGGAGGTGATTAGGTGATGTTGAACATACTTGCCCTCGAAGTTGAGCAGAGAGAATACCCAGGAGTGCATACCCCTCTGGGCTCTGCAGCAGGAGCACAAACATCCTGGCCCAGGGAGCAGCAGCCCTGTTCTGTGACATGGCTTTGTCTGGGGGCAGAGCAGGCTGGACAACAGCCAGCTGGATGGCCTCTGGGAGGAGCATCTCCTGCATGGGAGAAGAGCTGCCACGCTGCTAAGGTGAGAGAAATAATGTGGAAGAGCAAAAGAGAGAGGGGTCAGTGTTACAGAGGATAAATGGTGAAGCCCTAGGGTGGGCCAGGAGTATAGGATGGGGCATGGTGTATGTTGCTACTGAGTGTTTTGCACTTCAGTGCTAAGGGCAGCAGGTGCCTGATTTTTGGGATTTTCTCTCTGGTGGCTGAACTCCGTGTGTGTGCTAGGTGGAGGAGATCGTGTGTGCTGGGTGGGGTCACAGCTTCAGGAGTTACAAATGACAGAAATCAAGCTAGAACTGATAAAATCTTGATTTTTCTGCTCTCCAGCCATTTAAAAAGGGAAATAAGCATTCCGAGTAGTAAACGTTGCATGTAAGAGGTTGCAGGGTGAAAGTTTCCCAAGCAGAAACCTGGTATCTGACATGGGTCACTTTAACCCCACAGGTGATGCTGTGGTGTGCAGGGGAGCAGGCACTGTCAGTCTCAGGGACTCGTCGGGGGGATGCTCTCATTTAAGCCTGGACTTCAGAGCTGTTCTTTTCAGCTCAGGGCTGCTGGGTTCAGTCCCCACTGAGTGGTCAAGAGGCAGCTGATGGGCACTTGTCTGGGGTTTGAATTTCAGCATCCATGCTGAGCAAAGTGCAGAGGACCTTAAGCAGCATCCTGAAAACCGAGTGGAATAATGTCAAAGTATTTTATAAACGCTCACACAAAAAGTGCTCAGTCAGGATGAAGGGGCACACGGCCTATAAATGTGAGATTTAATTAAGAATCTCTGAATAGAATTATGACCCCATCACTATGTTTCTGCATTTGGAAATTTTCATCAGAAGGCGTTGTCCGTTCATCTATCTCTGTGTGCCTTGAAATGTATTGTCAGCTGGTATAAATCTCATCTGACTCAAGGGCTTTAAAGGCCTGCTTTTTTATTTCAGATTGGGGTTTCTAACATGGCAGTGGTTGCATAAAGAGACTTTACACTGGGCATAAATTACATCCACATAAAAAAGCCATAGTATTAAGAGGCTGCAGAGATTTTTGAAGTATAATGGTCAGTATCTTTTTACAGCATTTGTTTTGCTAGCAGTTCTGGAAAATTCCAATATTGTAAGAGTTAATATAAAGAGAAATTTGGGAACTGGTTTTGCTAACACTCTGAAATAGAACCTTTCTTCAGCTACCATAGAAAAGAAAATAAAGTTACTGTTCATTTGACTGAATTCGTGCATAAGCATGAGTGTAGGATACGGTCAGAAAATTCATTTATATGTTCAGGTCCGAGTCAGTGTAAATGAAGCATCTCCCATCTGCCTCCATCAGCTTTACACCTGTGAAGGATGTGACCCACAGCGTTTGAAATGCACTCCAGAAATGGGAAATACAGATTTGAGGAGAAGCTTCTACATGAGGGGACTTACTAGATTCAAGAGATAGACTCATACTGAAGATGTTACCACCACATAACTGCTTTAATCTGTCCTTTTGAATACTATTTATGAAGTTAAAGACTAATTTACTCGCTGGTATTTTTTCTTCTAAGTTCTGAATTGCGAGCTTGTTCAGCCTGCAGTGACAATTCCTCCTCATTTCTGTGGCTTTGGGAGGTGTCAAGTGACATGAACTGCATAGCAATGCCATTTTATTCTCCACTGCATATAAATTGCTCGGTTTTGTTTGTGTCACTTTGCTGGAGTGTTAACGTGAGTGTTTGTCCCAAAACCTGTGGAGATGCACCCAGAGCTGTAGTGATACCGATCCGTGTGTTTGTGCTGGTAAAGCTGAGCCCCTTCCTGCTGCCCTGGCAGACTCCTTGGAGGCAGGCTGCCCTGGGGACACACAGCCTGACCTGGGGACAGCTGAGTCTGCAGGAGCTTCAGACTTGGCCATGCCCGTGTCCCTCAGCTGTTCCAGGAGCCCCAGAAGGTGCTGCCTGTCCTGGGTCTCCTCCTGGAGTCCAGCTCACCCCGAGGGTCAGGCTGGCCTGTGGCACACGCTGCTGTCGTGGCAGTGGTGCTGGTGAGAGCCTGGCTGACATCCTCTCTTTGCCTCTTTCCCCAGGTTGTTGCGCTGTCGTCGTGGAGTCTCCTGAGAGATTCAATCTACTACACCCTGTCTGTCGTTGCACTCATTGTGGTAAGTTTTTGAAGGTTGTTCTTCTGTGGGAGCCTGTGTCTACTGCCACCTGTAAAGGGAACCTGCTATGGAATCACAGGCTCGTAGCTAAAATCTTAGCTCCAGCAGTCCCGTGGATTTGTGCTTGTGGAAAACTGCTTGTAGTCTCCGTGGTTCTGCAGGAAAGCTTGGCCCAAGGGTAGGACATGGAGTGTCCAGAGCCATAGCTGGTGTGGGCTGCATCAGCCCAGTGCAGACACAGGCTGCAGAGCTAAAACCCTGTGCTGAGCCTCCTTGCAGGGGATGCTTCAGTGATCTCCAGCAACAACCTCTGTGGTTTCCTAAAAAATGTGTACTAACCCGTAAGGAGGCAGCATTTGTGCCCAGGGGAAAGAGATCCTGAACAAATACAAAATGTTAGTTTTTCCACACATAACTGGGGCAGGTCTGTTCAGTGCATGCTGGCAGCAAGTCCTCCAACAAAGGCCACAGTTTCAGCAATTTTCAGTGCTGTGCATATTCCAGTGTTCATCAGGCTCAGTAAATGCTCCAAATGCCTCAGAATTGGGCTACACAGTGAAAAAGTGTTAGCACAAATTTTAGATAAGGACACTGCTGTCAGTTTAGCAATACCTTTGCAACCAATACCAAACAATGTGAGGAAATGTAAAAATTTAGTTTCCCAGTAACAGTTGCTTATCCTTTCTCCCCCAGCCTAGTCTAGTGCCCTAAGATTCCCTAAGAAAGAAAAAAAGAAAGAGTGATTTTGTGAGGTTAACTTCCATATGTGAGCAAGAGGGGCACTTTGGAGTCCGAAGGGGGTCTTGCATTTCTCGGTTTGGGTTACTTTGACTAGTGTGTTTCAGCAGTGGGTTTCAGTTTGCCCCCTCCCACACACCCTGTGTGTCAGACACGCTCTGGAGGTGCCAAGGCCTGTGTCTGCCTCGTCCCAAACAGAGGGTCTGCCTCAACCCGTTGGTGCTTCTGTTCCCCATACTGCAAGGTCAGCCTTTTTTGCAGCTGGTGAAAAATAACTTTCCTACGTAATTACTAGCAGTGAGCTGCAAAGCAAAAACCTTTTTGTTTGTTTTTGCTTTGGGAGCCTGACAGTGACCTCGTACCAAGAAGTGTTGCTAAACAACAAACATGGCCACACATACCAATCGTAGTGAATTCCACTGCACAAGCTTAAAGACATCCAGCAGGCATTCTCCTAGTTTACTCCACAGGAAGCACAGATGTGGGCAGCTGCCTGGCATTTAGCCTCCTGGTGCTTGGACTGGGCATTTCATTTATTGCATGGTAGCAAACAAGTTGAAAATCTGTTGACTCTGTCATCAATTTTAAATTCTTTAAGCAAGGCAGGTTTTTCTTCGTGGCTGGTTCACCCCCATGGTTGTCAGCTACTTCAAGATGTGGAGAACCATTCTCTATTGTATTGTGTCCATCCAGTGACTCTTTAAATTCCTAGTTACATATTCTGTGCCATGAGAAAGTTTATATGGCTCGTGGAACAGACATCTCTGTTATCCTTATAAGGAATAAGACTTTTCTCTGATACTTTATTGCTGCATAAGCTGTTATTCATACTTACAGAACTATAGGAGTAATTTTCTTTTGGGATGTACCCCATAGTATCAGGATAGGGTTATTTTTTCCCTAAGCCTTGAGTTAGCTTCTCTCCAGGTGTATGCACCCTCTTCTCATCTTATCAGTGGTGAAGTTCAAGGCACTTCACATAGCTAGGGGAGCAGGACTGTGCAACTGCAGGCATTAGTGGAGCCTTGAAGGCATTGCCAGAACTCATATTCCCATGTTACAGCACTACATGGCTGATTTGGCCTGGGAGATGTGGAGCACATCCCGTGTATTTTTGTGTTACTCCGTAGCAATCATTGCAAATGACTTCAACACCTGTTAGGGAAAAACAGAGGAAGATGAGAGGAAGGGAAAACATTTTAAGTGGTTAAACTTCTCTCCAGCTGATTTACCAAGCCCTTTTTATGCAATATTGCTCCCCAGTAGATGGTACATGAGGATTTCTCCTTTCAGAGTCAAACACTGCTTCAGTTTAAGAAGTTTCTCCTCCCCTTTGCTTGCCAGGGAACCCCTGGCTTCACAGTGGCTCTAATCTTTCCTCTCCTTTTAAGGCAGAATCAGATTGAGGTGGCAGGACATTTTTTCTCAAATTCTGACTCTTCAGTCCCCCATGGCTCAGCTGGGAGATGAGCCACAGGCTCCATAACCTGCCTGTGGTTCCCTCTTCCTGAGGTTTGTGTGCTCCTTTTAAAAAACACTTCAGAGCCTTGTATGCAGGGATAATTTGCCGTATCAGGGCATTGGGACTTCTTTGCAGCTGGAATAGAATCATCAATCTTGAAGAATGATATTGCTTTTAGAATGTTGCTCTTGTGGTGTTTTGAACAGCAGCTCGTGGTGCTGTGTTACAAGTTGCACTCCACTGGTGTCTTTACTAATCCTAAATACACCTGAGGGGTAATAAATACAGCAGCTTTAAAAAGCTTGATGCCGTGTTGGTTAAATCCATGTAACTTTGTCTCCTTCCATTTGCATTAAGAAAGGAAGTGCAATGTTGTTTTAAGAAATAGCAGAGCAGTATAGACTCACCTGTGTTTGCTGCTCCAGGCCATTTGGTAAGAGTGAGTGAACTCTAAACCACAGAGGTTAGAAGTGGATAAACCACACTCACTGTGCTTATTTCACCTTGATTCAGCCCTGAGTTTTTTTAACCTTATAATAGTATTGCAACGTTACCTTGTCTTCTTGTAGAGCTTGGCAAAACGTACTCTTTAATTCCCTTGAACGGAAAAAGATGCCTGTGTATCTTAACTTGAAGGTACACAGTCAGAGTCATTAGTGGCAAAAGTGGGATGGGCGCTGTTTTTAGTCCCAGAGGTCAATGCTCATGCTTATGTCCCATCACACCAACACATTGTAACCTAAAACAGGCCTTGTCAGATTAGATCACGGTGACTGGGAGCTGTAATTTACAGCGTTTTGTGATCGTGTTTTCTTCCTGTAACTGCCGGTGTAACTCGGCTGTCGCACAGGAGTTGCTGTTCGTGGCCGTATGGCCGAGGGGGAGCGTTCGCTCCGCTCTCAGGGGCTTATTCCCTTTCCGTGCCGTTTCCCTGGGGCGCTGCCGTGGATGTGCGTCCCTGGTGCGGATGTGGCACTTCCCTGTGGGCGCTTCAGAGGGGTCGGGCAGGGGCTGTGGCAGGGGGGTCCCGGCACACGGCGGGTCCCTCGTCAGCCGTGCCCGGCGAGAACGGGGAACGCGGGGCTGGCGGGCTGCGACAGCCACCTGCCGGTGCGGGCTGCGGCGCTCACCCTGAGGGCTCACCCTGACGGTGCCGGGGTGTGCCCTGCGCCTGCCCTGGCAGCCCTCACCACGGAGCTGGTCCTTCCCTCAGCCCTCACCACGGAGCTGGTCCTTCCCTCAGCCCTCACCACGGAGCTGGTCCTTCCCTCAGCCCTCACCACGGAGCTGGTCCTTCCCTCAGCCCTCACCGCAGAGCTGGTCCTTCCCTCAGCATGGAGCTGATCCTTCCCTCAGCCCTCACCACGGAGCTGGTCCTTCCCTCCGCCCTCACCAAGGAGCTGGTCCTTCCCTCAGCCCTCACCACGGAGCTGGTCCTTCCCTCCGCCCTCACCAAGGAGCTGGTCCTTCCCTCAGCCCTCACCACGGAGCTGGTCCTTCCCTCAGCCCTCACCACGGAGCTGGTCCTTCCCTCAGCCCTCACCATGGAGCTGGTCCTTCCCTCAGCCCTCACCATTGAGCTGGTCCTTCTCTCAGCCCTCACCGCAGAGCTGGTCCTTCCCTCAGCCCTCACCACAGAGCTGGTCCTTCCCTCAGCCCTCACCACAGAGCTGGTCCTTCCCTCAGCCCTCACCGCAGAGCTGGTCCTTCCCTCCGCCCTCACCAAGGAGCTGGTCCTTCCCTCAGCCCTCACCACGGAGCTGGTCCTTCCCTCAGCTCTCCCCAGACCCAGGAGGAGGCCGTGTCCCGGTGGGACCAGCCGAGTGGGTCAGAGGTGTGCAGCCCCTTCTTGGCTCCCAGCTGTTTTCCCTGTAACTGCTGCAATAGCCCTGGTTAACACCAGAATTCTGAGTACCTGCCTGCCTTGACTAGGTGAGAGAAACTGAGGGTTGAGAAGTTCAATGGCTGGGTAGGAGGGCAGTGCCAAACTACACCTCAGCTTAATGCCATTGCCCCAAGCCCTGTCTCCTGCCTCAGGTGATGAGCTGTTTTCAGCTATGGCTTTGTGTATAACATGCTATTTTTAAACCTTTTCTCCACAGTTTATTTATGACGAAAGAGTTTCCTGGTAAGTGAATCCCTTTTCATTTTTTCTGGTTATACACAAAAGCTGCCACAATTAGGGTTCCTCAGGGGAGGAGGGGGAAGCTGGAAAGTTCTGCAGGGCAGCATTTCCTGCTGTGTGAGAAACAGCACAAGATGGGCTAGAAAACTAATTTTTTGTGCTAGAAAGGCCAGGAGAGTGTTGTTCAGGCTGTTCCTGGTGCAGCAGCAGCAGTCAGTGCCCTCTGCCTACCCTGCAGCCGCCCAGGGATGGCAGTGTGCTCAGTAAAGGTGTGGGTGTGCCAGAAGGGGCCACCCAAGCAGTCCTAAATAATTGTATTCCATTATTTGGATTTTTAAAAATTTAAAAAACTGAAAGTTCCTGAGGCGATATTAAAGAGTGAATGACCAGATTAAAAAAAAATTAGAAAATTAATATCCCCATCAGTGTGCGTTAGTGTGGTGCAGTAGGTACGGTAGGCTAGGAGGGCTTCAGGCACTTTTAGAAGTGTGCTGTCAGTTGCTTTGGTCTCGAGATGTTGTTTCCAGTCCCTCTCTGGCTGGAGGTGGCAGTGCAGGTGGCTTTGGGGTCGCTCCCAGCCGCTGTAATTTGGATTACAAGCACTAGGGAGCGTCAGGCCGCTTGGCTCCGTGTTTTCCCTCACTCGCTCTCGGCGGGGGTTTGTGTTGCATTTCAGAGCCGGGTTTCAAGCACCGGCTCTCGCAATGGCTTGGTTTTGTTTGTTTGTTTGTTTGTTTGTTTTTGTTTCTTGTGGCTTGTTTGTTTGGGTTTTTTTTACTAAAATTGACTCGAGGCCCAGTTGTGCTTAACTGTGCTCTTCAACAAAAACACATCAATGGGGAAGCCGAGTGTTGAATTGCCGGAAGCAGAGCACGAGATATTGATATGGTTGTGCAGTGTCTCAAAATCCTTAAGGAGCAAGTGGTCCGTGAGTGTTAGTATACAGTCTAATAACGGGTGATTTCCAGAAGGATTAGCAGTTTGCCATGGGGAACTATGCAGAATAGAGCGTTTTGGCCAATGAAGAAGATTACCTAGAAACAAGCTCTGAAAGTCATATTTTGTTTTCACACAAATGTCATTGTTTCATTAGTTTGACCCAGAAACAGCAGAGGAATAAACCTGTCGGTACCCAATCAGCAGTTTAAAGTGGTGCCTGCTGCATTCTCAGTGCTCGTGCAGCAGCAGCAGGGGCGAAGGAGCAGCTGCCCCTTGTTGAGGCTGTGTCTGCGTGCTCAGTGTGCTTTAGCATGCACAGAGCCCCACAGCCTGCCTTAGCCATGCAGGCAGAGCAGGACTGCTCCCCTGCCTCAGCCACAGCCCCCATGGTTATTGTCCTTACGGGAGTCTCAGTGGTCCTTGGGTGTGCGATTTGTTCACTGAGCTCCTGACTTTTGTCACTTGTTCTTAGCTGACAGGCCGATTTGGCCAAGTAAAACCAGAGCAGAAGTCAACAAAACAAGGGAGGCATCATGCATGGATGTGTGAGCCATTTCTTTGTGCATCCCTTTTTTACAGAGGAGTGTTAAGACGGCCCAGGAGGGTCAGGCCTTTCTGCAGGCGTGTGGTGTGCCAGTGGGGGAGTGGCTGAACTCGGGCAGCTGACTGCCGTGCCCTGCTCTGATGTGTTTGTGTTGCTCTTGTTTTTAGGTGGGAGTCCTTAGTCTTAGTGCTGATGTATGTCATCTACATCATTATAATGAAGTAAGTCAAACGTGCCCTCGGCTTTTTTAAACTCTAAGGCTCCCTGCTCCCTTTGCATCACCCAGCCCTCACAACAGAGAAAAGAGGAAACAGCCTCCAGTTCTGCCAGACATTGGCTGTTAGGGAAAATTTTTCCACAAAAAGGTTTATCCAGGAACAGGCTGCCCACGCTAGTGTGGAATCACCATCCCTGAAGGAGTTTAAAAGACATGTAGATGTGGTACTAAGGGACATGGCTTAGTGGTGGGCTTGGCAGTGCTGGATTAACATTGGACTTGATGATCTTGGAGGTCTTTTTCAACTAAAATTGTCCTATGAATCTGTGCTTTATGGGTCTTGCCCTGTGTGAACAGACCAGCTAACACCCAAGTCTGTGGCAGAGCAGAGACCTGGATCCATTTTCAAGTCCCACCAAAGCAGGCCTCTTCTGACTTCACTTTAGCATCTCTACTTGGAAATAAACAGGTGTGAGATTGCAGTCTGCTTTTTGTGGGTGTGAAGCTCTGCTGTAGTTCCTGCTTGCCTGGAGACCCATGATAAAACTGCAGCACAGTCAGCAGTGATTTTCTGAGCATGTGACCTGTGTGACTTCTCTCACACAAGTTCCTGCTAGTAAAACCAGTCTGTTCTGCTGTTTGGTTCCTCTCCTCCTGTCTTGTTTTCAAAAGCCAGTGGAAAGGAAAACCCAGATTTAAACTGGAACATCGAACAAAACCTACCAGCTGCCAAGCACACCAGTGGTCTTGTCTCAGTAAGTAAGAGTAGAGATTTGTTTTGAAATTATGAGTAGAGTAAATATTGTGAGAAAAATTCTCAGAACAGTGAAACACTGAGGCTGGGCTGACGGGAACACAAGCCAGAATTCATCTCACTTCTAATAATTAGAAACTTTCACATGGTGGGTAGCTTCACCCTTGCAACAATTAATTGACCAGCGAGACAGTTGTACTGTCTGAATATTGTTTTTTTCCCTGAAAGCAATGCTGTGGTGGGAACAGATGTTTCAGACCTGTTTGGATCTAGCTGGAAAGGTTGCTGCCCTGGTTAGGTACCTCGGCCAGGTGTTTACAGGGGTCTACCCTTGCCTTTGAGCACCATGGTGAGACCCTTGGCTCGTGTTTGTGTCAGCTCCTGGGTACTCTAAGAAACAAGGATTATTCCCCTCCCTGCCACAGTAGAGATGAACTGAGCATATGACCTTGTGTTTCTGTGGGGGGTCATCCCAGGTAAAACAACACATACTCAGGTGTGATTATGTGATAAAAAATAAGCTTGGATGATGACAAGCAATGGTTACTCATGATACAGAATATTAATCACACCTAATACATAAGCATACGTGTCATTCAAGATTCATGGCTTCTGTCTTTCATAGCCTTCTGGGTACAGAGAGATTGCATGGTGTACAATTTGCTGTGCTCTGGCATACCCCCTAAAACCAGAGGAGTTTTCTTCCCTCCCTTAGTTGGATTGCACAGAATACGAGTCTAGGAAAGGAAAACTCACAAAGTAAAAGTACATCCTGAGTTTGTTTCTTTTGTGCAGGTACAACTCAACCATACATCACTGCTTTGAGAGGAAGACCAAAAACTCTGCGAACATGGTGAACGGCCTAGCCAGCAACGCGGAAATGGACGACAACAGCAACTGCGACGCCACGGTGGTGTTACTAAAGAAAGGTAACTGTTCCAGTAAGTCACTCTCTCACTTGCATCATTCTGAGTGTTTACAAGCCTGTCCCTGCTCTCAGGGTGTGAACTGCCGCTGTCTTGTGAGCCATGAAATGGTGGTGGGCAGGTGGGGTGGGGGCACAGTGTGGTGAGCCCAGCCATCACAGCCTGTGCCAGTGGAGGCAGCTCCGGCCTCTTCCAGGTAATTCTTGCTGCTGGACGAGTGCTTGGCTGTAAGGACTCCTTCAAGCACAGGGCCTGATTATTGAGCCCATTATAGCCACTGAGAGTCCTCCTGCAGGTGCTGTTACTCTGCGCTGACATTGCCCATTCACATCATCTCCAGTTAAATTTAACTCCATTCCAAAGGGGCATCAACTGAGCAGAGAAGGAGGCCCTGCTTAGACCAGTGCACGCTTTTCTCCCAGTGAGGGCTCCGTGTGGGTCTGAGTGGTGTGCTCTTACTGCATGTGCTGTCTTGAATGTGCACAGCTTTGCCATGTGAGTGATCTTTAAGAGTATTTCACTTTGGCTGAGATCTGCTCCTGTTTAACTTCAGTATGATCACGTATAAAAATAATGGTGTTTCTTCAGCTTAAAAAAAAATTCCCCACCCCATAGCTCAGCAGCAGCAGTTCAATGTCTGCATTTGCAAGCGTGTGCTGAACTGTATTTGAAGTGGGGTTTTTTGTCTTTGAAACATTCAACAAGCATGTGCAGTGACTGCTTGGGATTTATATGCACCTGTCCTCAGGAATAACACCTCCCCTTGCCCTGAGACATGGATTTAGCCTAAGAAGCAGCTCTGTCTTGGTCTCTGCCTACAGATGGGCTGCCCCTTTTGTTTTGCTAGTCTACAAAAACGTAAATTTAAAAAACCAGGTCTTTTCCTGCAATTGGTGATTGAGAGGCATAGTCTATATGCAGTAGGCAACAAACATGAAATCAAACCCTTTGCTCTGGCAGAGGCCTGTTGCAGAGGGAAGGCTGCTAGAAGTGCTGTGCACTCTGATTTGGGGAATCTGCTTTTGTTCTCTGTCACAGCAATCTGTGCTGGCAAGATACTCTGTACCAGGAAAGCTGGACTGGGAAAACTCAGTGACTGTAAACTCAGGCTTTGCCCATCCAGCTTTACTCAGTGCCCTCAGGGTTAGCTCTGATAGTGGGATTTGGTTTAAATGTCCCTACAATGTGTCTTTGCATGACAGCTGCTCAGCTGCTGGTAACTTTTTGGTTTGGACACTTGTGGTTACTCAAACTGGCTGAGGAAGGAAGAGGAAAGCATTGCTTCATCTCCTCGAGGATTGTTCCTGTATTTCCTTGGCAGAGGGCCCCTGGAGGCCTGGACAGACGAGTGGTGCTGCTGCCTGTCCCAGCCAGGGGCACAGGGTCACAAACAGCACCTGCCCAACAGAGTGCCCTGAGGGTTTCAGACACTGTTTGTTTTCTGAGGCCTTTTCTGAACAAAGAGAAAAATACTGAAACAGAAGGATTTCTGTGTTTGGGGCAGTTCCCCCAGGTGCCATTCAACAAATGCCAGTGTGGAAAAACTCACAAAGAAAAGCTGTCTGGCTATTTTAATTATTTTTTCCTTTTTTTTTTTTTTGATATGGAGGAGCTGAGGAGTTGACTTGACTATTTTGGATTCATCCAACAGTCAGAAAAAAAAGTGACACAAAGGCCAGAGAGATACTGTTCTGTAAGACTAACAGTGATGGTAAAAACCAGTAATGCCATGAAACATTTGCCAGTGTTCAGCACTGATTTTAGTAAACCAGAGCAGAAATATGTCAGGTAAGGCCTCAGGTTTCCCTGCTGCCAAGTTCCAGTCCTGGCACAGAATTCACAGCCTGAGGTGGCTCCAGGCACAGGAGGGATGAACCCCAGAGGCAATAGGCACGAGCACCACGCCCCAGGTGGAGCACAGTTAAGGTACCTGCCCCTCTCTCCTTGTCCCTTTGCTCCCATGCCATGGGCCACCCTGGCACATGCTCTTGCTGCTGGGTTTGGTGGCACTTCCCAGCCATGAGCTGCAAGGCTAGGATGCAGAAACCTGCTTTTTGTTTGCACTGGTACCTCGCAGGAACACAGGGATGATTTCTTTGCTGCTGTGGGTTAATTAATGGTGGGTGAGGACAATATCCCCACGGAAGTGCAGGATAACTGGAATTAGTGCAGCTTTCCTGAGTTTCTGCCTTGGTGGGATAGCTGCTGTGGAAGCAGTGGGCTGCCTAACCCAGGCCTGTGATGAACTGTGCAGAGCAGATGGAGTTCTCTGTAAGGAGCACGAGTGGCAATACCATACTGGCAGTTTATTTAAAGACAGAAATGTAGGATGTGTAAAAGGCAGACATCAAGGACAGAGGTGGCATATTTTGAGTGGTGGTAGCTGAAGGAATGGTTCTTACGAAGAACTTCTGGAACCCGTGGGTTTATCGTTCTGAGAGCCCTATAGGCCAGAGAGAGAGACTGCTGGAAGAAGACCTCAATTTCTTTTTGTTCCCTGGCTGCAGGAAATTTCCACCGTAAAGCCTCAGTGATCATGGTTGATGAGCTGCTCTCTGCCTACCCACACCAGCTTTCCTTTTCCGAGGCTGGGCTCCGGATCATGATAACCAGCCATTTCCCTCCCAAAACACGGCTCTCCATGGCCAGCCGCATGTTAATCAACGAGGTGTGTCTTCTGTCTCCCCCACCAGCCCTTCTCCTTCTCATTTTGCCTTCTCCTGTTAGCAGTGTTTGGGTTGAAATGGAACTCTTGTGTTCCTTTGGGATCCCTGATAGCCCTCTCCCATATTTTATCCTTCTGTCATTGACTTTAGTAAATCATCCCTTGCTGTTCTGTCCACCTGGAGATTTTAGCAGAGCAAGTTTCAGATTGTTATGAGGTTATGTTACCTGTAGTGTTGCTCACAGGGGGTGCCCCCTACATTGATCTGATAACATCACTTGCACTTGTTTAATAATACGGCACTCCCCTGAGTCTGCACTTAGTCTGTCCCTAGTCTTGGAGTGCTCCTGGAGTCAATTCCGCAGCCACTGGTTCTTCTCTTGTAAAAGTTGCATATGTGAGATTTATCTAGTGGTCTGCAGGCAAGCATCGTGTTTTACCTGATTGAAATTCATCCCTTTTGCTTTTAAAGCCAAATTTTTAAAGAATTCTACACGTCTCTCTTTCTCTGTTCCTCCCTTTCTCTTGAAAAAATCAAATTTAAAAAAAATCTATCTTTCAGCAAGACTTTGTGCCTGTGTTCACAGAGGCAGAGGCTGATCAACAGCAGGACTTACACCAACGGTGAGTCAGAAGTGGCAATCAAAATCCCTGTGAAGCACGTGGTGGAGAACGGGACAGGCCCCGGGAACTCCGCGGAGCGGGGCGTGAACGGCGGCCGGCGGGACGAGGACGTGGCCGAGGCCGGGAACGAGACCGAGAACGAGGACAACGAGAACAACGAGAACGACGAGGAGGAGGAAGAGGATGATGACGACGATGACCACGAAGGGCCGTACACACCTTTTGACCTCCCCAGTAAGAAGCTGCTGGGTTTGTGTGGTGTTTGTTTGGGTACTGCCAGGAAGCATTGCGGACGCACGTGGAGGTACGCGTGTCTCTGGGAGTTCCCATCAGCCTGCCCTTTGCAGGGAGGGTCCTGGTCACAGGTAACAGAGAAGAGGAACTGGGAAGCAGCAGGAACCTCTCAGGGTGCAGGCTCCTGGGGCTGGGCACACCTCTGCTGCAGCTCCTGTGTTGGCCCTGTGCTGCTGTTGCAGTCAGAGAGGAGACAGCAGTCTCCACAGGGTGGTTCCTGTCCCCAAAACATGACTCACCCTCTGGAGCAGTGGATCTCTGCTGACTTTGGAGGAAGCTAAGGATGGTGGGGCTGCTGTCGAGGTGCCTGAGTGCAGGTCAGATGTGTCTGTGGCTAGGGCCTACCTTTGCTGGGAAGGGAGGTGGGCTCTTCCCTCAGTGGGACAGTGTAGTGCCAGCCCCTTTGCTTCCTCCCAGGGAGGGAGCACATGTGCTCTGACCCACTGCTTAAACTCTCAGGCAGTCACTTTACACTCCTGTGCGTCTCCATCTGCCATCACACCGTGGTCCTCTGAACGAGAGATGGCTTGTCATTGTCTGTTTGGTTAGCAGTTAGGCTGAGAGGTCCCTGCCATCTTCCTTGGACATATTAACAAAATAATAACATCTGGGAATACAGCAGACTAGAACTGTGATTGTTTCCCTTTATTGTTGTTGTTTTTCAGGTGGAAAGATAGAAATATTGAAGTGGGTCTTCACATGGCCTTTGAGTTTTGTCCTGTACTTCACAGTGCCCAACTGTAACAAACCCCACCTGGAAAAATGGTTCATGGTTACCTTTGCTTCTTCTACCCTCTGGATTGCAGCTTTTTCTTACATGATGGTGTGGATGGTACGTACCAACTACACCGGGAACCACTGTCTGGGAGAAGAAACAGTAATGGGTTTTGTCAGCCTAGAGGAGTGTACAAGAAGTTCTACACACCTCAGTTTTCAGATGAGAAACCTTATGTCTGCTTCCATTTCTGCTGGACCTGTCCCCACTCAGAGAAGAAAACAGAATCACTGTGCAGCTTCTGACACATGGTTCACATTGCTTGGAGTCTGGTGTAGGGAGCTGAAAAGAGTGATTAAACCTGGAAATTAGGAAATGGGTGTCATTAGACAAAGGCACCCAAAATTTAAAAATATTAATCAATTTGAAGAATGCTAATTTAACATAGACTGCATAGCAGAGGGAAGAGGAAATTAAAGGTTATCTTCTCTCTGCTAACAGGATTTGTTTGCAGTCACTGCATATAGCATTTTCATAGTAGAATGAACCACAGGGCAGTTTCAGTGTCCACTTAGGTAGTGTTTGTAAATAATAATGTCTGCAAACTTCATCCAAGATCAGCAGATGGTTACACAGGGTAGTGGGCCACCATGTAGTCTCTTTTCCAGGTTAGTTTCAGGAAAATTGTGGGTGAAATATATGAAGCAACTAACCAAAGAGGGTACCTAGCAGGTGAGTGCTATCCTCTGCCAGTTGATGACTATACCAAAAAACCCTGTCACTGCTTCTCTTTAAAGGAACTGTGGGTTTGTACTGAGAGATACACTCTTGTCTCACAGCATATTGCAGATTTGGGCCAAGCTGGTCTTGGATGTCAGTTCTTGTAAACAGCTTGACAGTTTATTTCCTCTCCTTAGGTGACAATCATTGGGTACACCCTGGGAATCCCAGATGTGATCATGGGCATTACGTTCTTGGCAGCTGGAACCAGTGTGCCAGACTGCATGGCAAGCCTTATTGTAGCAAGGCAAGGTAGGTTCAGCACAGGGATGTCATACTGCTGGGGAAGTGTTTCCTTGTGTTCTCTTTCTCTTTGGGAAGCACGGGTGGCTCCTGCATGTGAAAACATACAGAGCCCTTTTCCTGAGCCTGAAGTTTAGAACAAGAACAAAGGATATAAATTGTGTTGCTGTGGCAGTGTGGAACAAGTTTAAAAGGTTAACAGTTGCAAGACTGTTCTGAGACATGTCTGATTGTACCTGGTTTCCACTCCTGCAGGAATGGGGGATATGGCTGTATCCAACTCCATCGGAAGCAACGTTTTTGATATTTTAATTGGCCTGGGCCTTCCATGGGCTTTGCAGACCCTGGCAGTGAATTATGGATCATACGTAAGTCCTACATTTGTTCACGTTGTTCTCACTTTCTTTATTTTCAGTAAACCGTGTCTATTTAGGAAAAAGAAAATTAAGGTCCAAAATTCTGTGGATTGGATTTGAAAAAAACAAATAGTTTTGGTCTGTTACGATTTGGGAGAAGCAGCAATTAATTGTGACCGAACAATCTCCATCCTTTGGAGGACAAGTACTTCCATTTCCTCCTTAAAGACAGAAGTCTGTGCTGAAATAAGCTAGCTCACTGGAGTACACTGGATGATTTTCACACTCTTGAATATATTCCATATAAGAAGAATGGCCCTGTTTTTAATAAGCCAAAGGGGATAAACACGCAGGTGAAATGTAAAGGATAGATGAGAGCTGTAAGGCTCTCTGGTGTTATGTTAACATACTGGAAAGTGAAGGAAACTTAAATAATTGGATGTTTCAGAGCATGACCATCAGCAGAAAACTCTGCAGAGCTTTCCTGTTTAAGCAAAAAACTACCCAACACTAATGAACTCACCCTTCACTTCCCAAATGATAAAAGAGCCACCCCCTGGCCCCAGCGTTGTTACAAGGTTCCTTCTGAGAAGGAAGAGGAGGAGATGTTACAAAGTTCTAGATGGAGGTTGCTGTGGCTGTTGTTGTTAGCTGAACACCACTCAGACAGCAGTGTGGGACAGAGGATTTCAAATTGTGTGTGTTGCCTCTTGTCCTTTCAGTGGATATCATTCAGAAGAGTCTGGCTGCACCTCCTCTGTCCTCTCCCATTAGGTATTAATGCACATCAGTAAGGTCCCCTGAGTCTTCTCTTCTGGATGAACAGTGCCAGCTCTCTGCCCCATCATCCAGCTCATTAAATAAAGACAGTAAGCAGGATTGACCCCCGGGGTAAGGCCCCAGTGACTGACCTCCAGCTGGGCTTGGAGCACAGTGGTTGGACTGGTTGTCAGTCTGCTCCACTGTCTGCTGTTCTGGGCTGTTCTTCCTTTGTTTGTCTCTGAGGTTGTTTGAGAGACAGTGTCAAAAGCCTTCCAAAGCCAACATAAACAATGTTTGTTGCTCTCCCCCCACCCAGCAAGTCCCCCTCGTCACAGGAGGTATCAGGCTGGGCAAACAGGATTTCCCCTCCATCAGTTTGTCTGCTCACAATCACCTTCTTGTCCTTCATATATTTAGAAGTGGTTTCCAGGTTTATGTGCTCCATCGTCTTCCCAGAGCTCAAGGTCAGGCTGACCAGCCTTTAGCTTCTCAGATCTTCCCTCTTCTTGAGTATAGGAGTGCCAAAATGAAGCAATCTTTAGGAATAAAATCCCTATCTTTATCTGCAGCTCATCTGTATTTTTTGCAGAAAAGGATGAAAACGAGTGGCTGAACAGATGCGGGCAGCTTTCATGGAGGCATAACAATATCACTACTGTGTTGCACACCCAAAATGTCCATTGTACAGTGTGATCACGTGGTTGGAAAAGGCAGTCTTGGAAACAGCCCCACAATTAGCAAAGAGAGTTTCCTCAGTTTTCCCTTGCAGGTCCTGGATTTCTCTCCAAATCCTTGGGTAACTGGACTTCAAAACAAAACAAGCCCCCTCTTTCACCCTGTTGTTATTGGTAATTAGTTATTGAAGTATTACTAAGTTGCCAAGAAAGGCTGGCGTTAGCTGGGTCAGTGTTAAGAGCTCCAAGATGCTGGTTGTTATTTGGGAACGTTCCCAAGTGCCTGGCACCCAGGTCAGCAGGGGCATCAGACACGAAGCTCCAGGTCCCTGAGGTCCCTCGTGCCAAGCCTTGGACTGCTGGTGTGAGCAGGGCCTGCTGACTGGGGTGGGGTTCATGAGCTGAGGCCAGCCTGGTTGTCCACTAAATGTCACTGAGTCAGAAGCACTAGGTAGTTTCTGAGCTAATAGTCAGGATTTAGTGCTGCTCCTTTGATATTTGGCAGGACCCAAATGTGTCTTTGTGGTATCTCCTCCAAAAGAGGAGCTCCTCAAAGCAGTGGTGATGCCCCTGACTTGCATACAGAGGGGAGGAGAGAGTTGTAGAAGACCAAAAGGGCTTCCTTGACTATAATTACTTTTGTGTAGTGATCCAAAACCATGGTTGCCTCCCTAGAATGTTTAATGTAAGTGGACTGTGGCAAAGTTAAGCTTCTGCTGAAAGTAGAGAGTAAACACATTTTAGTAAACAAGTTGTAATAACTTTTGTGGAAGCCAAAATCAGGAGACTGTGTGATTTGGAAGTTAAACTTCAAAGCAGAAGGACCTTCTAGAAGCCCCCTCCAGCCTTGTTTTTCTGGGATTCTACACACTCATGGCTTTTTCCAGAGTGTGGTATATATCTCTAATATGATACTCTGTAAAATCCGTACATATATATCATGTTCCAGGCTGCCTGACTCCGAATCCCCTGTGGACGGTTTTGCTCCCTGTTAATGCTGGTGTAAGGAGTTCTGGCAGGTTGCCATGCAGAAATGGAGAGGAGGGTGTGCTCTTTGTTCCCATGGTCGTGCTGCACCTCGGTGGAGCAGCTTGGGGACTGCCATTAGGTGCTTTCCGAACGTTCTCAGCCATCCTGGGAAGTGGCCTCAGGTGGAATCAGGCCTTGTTGTTTAAACAAGCTCACTCTATGGAACAGTGTCTGAGGGGGAAAGATCTTGTGATCTAATAGATGAGTCCAGAAAAGAGCAAGAGGGAGGCTGTCAGGGAGACTAATGGGCTTGCTGGAGTCACACAGTAGGTGAATGGCAGAACTGGAAGTAAACTGTGAATCTCTGGAGAGAGGTGTCCTGGTGCTGAATTGCTAAATCTCATTGTGATTAAGTGCCTCTCTTCTGACAGCCCCTTCCCCAGGCCCGTTGTCAGCAGATGTTTCAGCTCAATATTTATTTTATTCTTCCTTCCTTGTTACAAGAAAGGAATGGAAAACCATCTTTTGCTTCTCAGGCTGCATCTTGGAAGCATCTGTCACCTGGTTTAGAGAAGGAGGTTTTCCTTCTTCTGTTTTTCTGCTTAAAAGGAAACATTTCCCTGTAGGATGTCGGTGCCCTGCAGTCAGAGACAGCCTGCCCAGGGAGTTGCACCCCCATGCTGTGCTGTAGGAAGCTGGCACAGCGGGCAGAGCTGTGCAGAGCCAGGGCACTGGTCTCTGGTACCACTCACCGTGCCTCGCCTGCGTGGGTCTGTTACACCAGCCAGGCCTGTCTCAGTGTGATCATCACTGTGCAGCACTGGATTTTTGTTCTCTTCCTTCCAGTGCTGGCTGGAGCCAGTCCAAACCCAAGCCAGAGAATGCTCCATCTCATGCTTCTCCAAGAAAAAGTGTCGGTGGCAAGAAGAAAAGGTCCTGCTTTGCCCTCACCCTTTGCCTTCAGCTCAGTTGTCAGTTCCACAGTTCCTGGCTTGGACCAGGCCACCAACACTTTTCCCACTGAAAGGCAGATCTAGCCAACATCAAACTTTCCACATCAGATCCCTTCTCTTTCTACAATATCTAGTCTCTAACCCAACTATATGGTTACTATTTTAAGAGAGTCCTTTGCTGTTTCTGAACACCCATTAATGTCCAGGTACTAACTCTGCCTTCCTCTGTGCTTCCCACTGGAGCTTCCATGTCCACTGCTTAGAGGTCACTTGGCCACCCTCCTGCAGATGCTCTGGCCTTCTGTTATCAACACAGCTAATCTGGCATGCCAGCAGGGCTTTGGGAGGAAAAGCAGCATCCCTCTGGCCCTAGAGAGTCCTTTGACAGAGCTCACTTTCTCCTCTCTTCCAGCATTGAATCCTGGACACATTGCTGACTCTGTAACCCCGTAAGCATCCCTCCCTAGTGGACCTGGCATATGCAGAGTGCAAGGATGTTTGCATCCAATTGCTTCCCTCTGGAATATTTTTTTGCATATAAACCAGACATCAGCCTGGAGTATTTTAGAGAACAGGAATTTTAACCTAAGGATAAAGAGCCAGGTTCATTTGTTCACATCAGCATTTGGGAGTATAATCATGTCAGTCCATCGCTCCTCTGCCTGATAATTCAGCCAGTTTCAGCAAAATTTGACAGCAGATTAGAAGTCTTAGAGACGTGACATTCCTTCCATGCAAACAGGCAGCTAGAAAGAGCAGGAATAATTCCAGTGCAAGCCTTATTAGGCATCCAAGCATCCAGAGGGAAGCAAATACTTGAAAAACACATGGAGATGGGAAGCATCATTGCTTTGCTCCTTGCTGACCAGTTGCTTTTCACTGCTTTAATTCCAAGGCACTAGGGTGAATGGTACTTTAGGACAAAGCTGGCCTTAATCTCCTCACAGCCAACGTCTGTGTATCTGTTCCCTGCCCCACTCTGGCCCAGGTACCTGCATACAGTCCACCTTAAATCTGAGGGAAGAGAGGGAATAGGATCCACGGATGTGTCAGTCATGGGGCAAACATTAGGGTCCAGAATAGCAACCAGGTGGTGACTCTGAGTGTCTGTGGGGGTCCCTGCTTCCCACTGCATCCCTCTTCTCTTCTGGAGCTGTTACTGCTCCTCCTGCTTTGAGCTACCAGACTCTTCCCATCTGCCACAGTAGCACCTGCAGCGTGATGTGCTGGCATCACTGCAGCAGCAGTATGCAACTTGCCAGGTATTAATGGATTCACTTACTGTCAGATTCCCAGAAACCTGTGGATGGGCATAGCAGGTGCATGCTGAAGCCACTGTCTAGTCCCTCCAGCCTCCTGGAGTAGTTTGCATGTAGTGAGTGTATTTGCTCCCTGGTTCCATGACAGAGGGAGATCAGGATGATTGTGCTGTAGTGTGGAACAAAGGTGTCCTTGCCAAATCTCCAGGCATTACAGGAATTCTCTCCAGCTGTAGCCCCTGCATCTCCTGTGTGATACCTTGATTGTCCATGTGCAGCATTCCAGGTGGGTACCCTCTGCAAAATGAATTTTGTGATACAGAACAAACCCAGGATGCCGCTCTCTGAGGAGTCTTAAAAGAGGTTTAAGAAGGAAATTCCATTTAGACATGCAGGAATGCAGCACATGTTTGAAGTTCCAGTTTGCTGAGACCGCTGTCTCATGGCAGGACCTGGGGAATGATGGATTTAGACTGAATTTCCACTGCCAGACAAAGACACTGCAGGAAAAGGATCCCCAGACATACAGAGAACCTGCAGCTTTTTCAGCTGAGGGACTGGAAAGGTAGCAGAGTCCTTCTAAAATTCCTTACTGGGGTGATTTCTGTCATATTTGGACCCTGAAGCAAAACGAGTCTGGGTTCTGGCAATAACTCCTTGTTTTCCCTTCAGCAACTGCCAGAAAAGAACTGAAGAATAGAATCACTTTTATTTCCATTGTTTTTCCTCTGCTGTTTAGCCTCAACCTTGGTTACCTATTTCCTGCTGCAGCAGCTTGGGCATGGCTGGAGCTGGTGGCAGCATCTTTGCATTTGCTGCACAAGCAGCAGGGAGGTCAGTCTGGCAGAGGAGACTGGGAATGCGCAAACTTTCCGTGTGTAATCAGTCAGAACAGCATTCTTCTGGCTTGCTTTAGCCCCTAGATACAAGCCAGACCTCAGAGGAGAGTTTGGGAATGTTGATTTTTCCTCCTTGCTGTATATGAGGGAGTGCTTTGTCTGCAGACAGTTTTGTCCTGGGGGAGAGGCATTTCCTGTTCTTAAATGAACAGAGAACTGGGCTTTTCCTTCTGTAATGAAGAAGACTCCAGCTGAGGCTCTTTTTCTGGCCTTTGCCAAAACCTGAAATTATCTCCTTTCTTACTGCGAGTTTTGAATGTTTTATTGGCCTTGTTTTCCCTAAACTTCCACGTTGTCACATATTCTGAGAAAAGGTATTCCAGTGCCTCTTGGAGGAAATGCCACTCTTCTCATGAGAGGGCTGCTTGACTGATTTCTGCTCTGACTTGACAGATCAAGGACACATTTTTCTTAAGCTTTTGTTCCAGATTTCAGAATCCCCCGAGCTTCTGTGCTCACAGTTAGAAGTCTGTCATGAAATGGAGTAGGGTACAGTGATCATCACAGAAAGTGGAGTAGTTCATCAGCTAAGTGTGTGTTTTCAGAGCTGTAGTCTGATGGGATATTTGTGAAACAGCAGCGTGTAGTCCAAAGTGAAATGCAGGAAAAGAAGGGGTTTGTCAGGAAGCTCGTTTGGCTGAACTGGATGCATATCACAGCTGGAATTTCTGGATGAAAAAGTGCAACTGTTTGGGTAAAAAAACCTTACTGGTGAGCTCAAAGTACTTGAAAAGCTGTGAAGAATTCCACAGATGTTTCAGGAGGTGATGGCATCTCCCTGTCATGCCACAGAACAAGCAGAAAAGGGACAGAAGAGGACAAAGACAACATGTGAGAAGGGCTATAAAACAATGAGAAGTGAATAAAAAACCCCAGAAAGACAGTTGGAACAACTAGACATTGATGTTTGATGTAAGACTGTTCCCAAAGCCCTGGGATGGCTGGGAGATGGATTCCATAGGTGGGTGCTGGGTGTAATTCCATAATTCCAGAGGCACTGGATTTACAGTATACGTGCTGTGGAGTTACCCTGTGCACGCAAGTGGATTTAACTGGCACACAGCAATGAAGGTGCTGGTGCAGAGCTGCTCCAGCATCACTCCTCTGGCACATGCAGTCAGTCTGAGCTCAGCAGACTTTGTGGAGAATGGAGGGATCCTTTAGGCAAATGGAGAAGTAAAATGAGAGAAAAAAGGCATATGTGAACACTGGGGATTCAGCCTAGCTTGGCTTTAGCTCTTTCAAAACCACTCCTCAGTACTGTACAAAAACAACTCGTGGTTCTGTAGGATCACTTTCTGGAGCAGACAGATGCCTGTTACGTTAGCAAATGTGGAAAGGCTGCCAGGAAAGTGCTTGCTATTTAGGTTAATTAACAGCTCTTTGCTTTGCCCAGCAGTGGGAGCTGGGCTAGATCCCAGGCCAGGAATGTTGCTTGTTTGGCCCAGGTTGGGAACTGTTAGGCTGGAGTGAAACTCAAGTTTTTTGAAGCAGTGACCCTGCAGGGGGAAGTTGGTGCTCACGTTGGTTGCCCTGTTTGCTTTGCCTGCATAGGAACAGCATAAGCTGTGCTGCTGTTACATTTGTAAAGCTGCCATAAATAATTAGCATACACTTTGAACTTTTGAATAATCTTTAATAGCAACTTTTATTCCCCTGGATGACCTGTGAGGAAGAGCCCTGCAGGTAGTGCAAAGAAAGCAGCCCCAAACATTTCTCTTTGGAAGCACTGTCCTCAGCAAATTAGACACAGAGGCCTTTGGAATGGTCTGCTGGTTTTATGGAGGCTGAAGATGTAACAGAGAAGCAGTGTCTGCACTTCAGGTTGAATTCAAACATTTTCCATGCTAAAATAATTCCATCCTCTTCATTTGATTCCTTTTCCTGTAGATCCTTTTGCAATTGATACATTTTATACTGTTGAGTTTTTACAGATACTGGCACTGGTCAAACAAAATTCCTGACCAAAATCCAGGCAGGAATTTATTGCAAAATAGTATCTGTCTTTCCTAGCCAGCTGCTGTTCATTTGGGGTAGCAGGGAAGGTGGCTTTAATTTGTGTTTCAGTTACACAGAGTTAGTTTAGGATTTTTTTAACCAGTCTGTCTCTGGAGTTTTCAATGGCTATAGGATCATGACATTTTTCACCTTCAGTTAATGCAGACAGTCCCAAAATTGACCTTCACGCCCTGAAGCAATCCAAATCCTTCATTTCTCTGGACAGTCAGTCTAGTGCTAATGTTGCATTTTACATGTAATGGTCATAGGAATAGAATGGTCCTGCTGTACATCCATACCCTTACAGCATATATCCTAAAGAAATCCTGGAATACCTCTATGAACAAATGATCATCATGGCTGTAGCCTTTTTTATTATGTCAAAAATCCGTAAAGAAGGAAAACGTGCCATTTGTGTAAGCCAGTATTTTAACACATGTGAAGGGAACAGCAAATCTCTGAAGGCAGCAGCAGAGCTCTGCAGATGGGGGGGATGTTTGTGAGTGCAAGTGATGGCAAAGCCCATGTGGGAGTAAAAAAACCTTCAAATGTTGTCAGGTCTTAAGGATGCTCCTCTAATAATGCTCCTTCTTCTTTTGCAAAACAGGGAGTAAGCAAAGTAATCTGTGATGTAATGGCTTGCCTTGGCGTTTACAACTTGCAAGCGAGTGTTTAACAAGTCAGCAGTTTAGGATTATGGAAATATCAGCAGAGGGAAATATTGTTGCTTGAAACTGTGAGATGGTTTTATAAACTTCCTTTTTTTACAGATTCGGTTAAACAGCAGAGGACTTATCTATTCTGTTGGTCTCCTGCTGGCATCTGTTTTTGTCACAGTATGTATATAGTCTTTTGTTCTTCTTCTCCAAAAGAGAGCTTTTTATAGACATTTTCTTCACCTGTTCCTTCCTCACCTCCAGCTGAAGTGGTGTTTGCAAAGTCTGTGGTTAAGGGATAGGAGCAGTCACTGCTGCTGTAAACCTCCTGAGACCTCGATGTGGCACTCTGCAGCAGTCACAGGGTGACACTCCTGTTTGTGTCTTTGGCATGGGAGGAGCCTGGGAGAGCCATTAGTAATTGTTAGTTATTCTTATGCTAGAGCTGAAACAGATCCCTTGATGCATGATGAGGCCCATTGTCCTGTGGGACAGACAGACAAAATGCTGTACAGGGTGCTTGGTCCTCTGTAGGATCCTTCTGAAATATACTGCAGTCCAGGAAAAATAGTGCCTGGACGTGGCAATGTTTCTGTTGAAATCAGTGCTTCATATTCCCTGACCTTTCCCAGAAATGACAGAGAGAAGAGGAATGATGTGACATCTTCCAAATCTTGAGACCAGGTGCTATAGAGGGGAGTCCTGTGTGTTACATACCAGAACAATTCCCACATACACAAGACTTTTATCTTCAGCCAGAGCAAACTGTGCGAAGTCAAGCACAGTCTTGGAGTGTGTGACTCCAGGTTGAGATGCAGAGGAGCACATGAAACATTTTGAGTGATGAAAAGGGAATCTGGCCTTTAAATCCGTTTCTGATGGAATTAAATGGGATTGTTCTTGCTGAAATGAAATCCTTTGCAGAAACTTGAAGTGATGTCAAGTCAGGGTGGTTTCCCTGACTGCTGTTCTGATTTACTGCAGCTGTGGTCAGCTCACTTGCTGCAGAACTTGGATTGTGATTGCTTCCAGCTGATCATCATCAGTCAGGGGACAGCCCTCTTCTTGCTGCTGTAGTTGAAGAGGGGATTTACTGCTTTATTCAAAATGTTCCTGCTGTGGTGGCTTACTCTGTGTTTATTGTAGGTTTTTGGTGTCCACATGAACAAATGGAAACTGGATAAGAAGCTAGGGTGTGTGTGCCTTTCCCTTTACGGCATCTTCCTGTGTTTCTCCATCATGACAGAATTCAATGTTTTCACGTTCGTGAACTTGCCCATGTGCAGAGATCACTAACGCAGGGGTGACTGTCGGGAGGAGCTTCCTTCTTACCTGTGCAATACGAGCCACGGCGGGCGACTCCTCAACGTGGGGCACCTCCAAGTCCTGACACACGTCCTGCTCGCTGTTCATAGGACCCGTGGCCCCATCTAGGTGTGCCCTCTCCCCGGCCCCCACGACCTGGAACAATCCTGCATCGATGTGAAGAGGTTTTTTTTCAGCATTCATGTGATTTCCTAGCTCAGTCTTTGAACAGTGTGACTGCGACTCGATGAACTGGCTGCTAACTGGCGTCAAGCCAGGCAAAACTGGTCTGCTACAATTCCTTCTTTTTTTAAGTTATTTGATGGAAGACTAATTAATTTATGACTTAAGACTATTGCTACAATGCAGAAGAGGGTACGTTGTGCAGGGGCTGACTCTCGAGGAGAATCATGGGAATTTTTTTGATTGTGGGGTTTTGTTTGTTTGTTTTTAGTTTTGGTTTTGCTGTTTTTTATTTGTTTGTTTTGACGGGGGGGGGGGTGTTCTTGTTGTTCTTTTTTTTACTTGCCAGAGATCAACGTCCTGTCTTGCATCTTCTCCTTCTGAGCACTGGGTCTCCTGTAACAATCCAAAGGTCACAGGGCAACGTAAAATGGAAATGCAGTTCAAGATACTCAGCATAAAAGTGGATAAAAGAAGTTTTTCAAGGCAACAGCTGATGACTTTTTACTATAAATAATGAATCTTGTACAAGTGTGATGAGGATTGCAAGCTAAATGTGGATACAAAGGGTAAACAGTGCTACCATTTTACTATGAATGTCGGAGTTTTATTACTGGGGCGTTTATGTCATTTCCAAGCAATAGTTTGATTGCCCAGGAGGGCTGCCAAGGTGCCCTGGTTTTTAACTGGTCTGCACGTGGACATGGAAGGTCAGAACTTTCTCTGCTTCATCAGATCTCTTGTTTTGGGGGGATCCAATCGTTCGTGTCTTATTCGTTCTGAGAAGGACGTGAGTACGTGTGGAAACTTTTCTAAATGAGTTACAGACACTGGTTTCTTTAAGAGGAAAGAGGCATATTTTGCACAGACATAGTTACTGAAGTCCTAATTTGCCATTCTTTGAAGAATACACTGGACCTGGCCAGATATTTGTCATCTTAAGCAGTTGAACTTATCTGATAACAGATCATGTGGATTCATCACCCTTCCTTTGGGAGGGAGGAAGACACAGACAGAAATGGCACTTTTTAAAATGTGGAATATCTTCAATGCAGACTTGCTCACAGATCTTAAGTTATTGTGAAAGTTTAGCTATTCATTGTTCCAGTATCCCAGCTAGATTTTGTATAATTCTGTATTAATATGCAGGCAGATTCCACCCCCTGGGAAAGCCATCACAGCTTCGTTGATATGTATGGATACTGTGGATTCTTGCCACTGCGACTCTTGTATTTACTTTAAGCACTGATCACTTCTGATCCCTTTTGTATGTTTTCTCCTCTTTCTTGTATATGTTTTACTATGAAATGTATTAAGAGACTACCAGCTAGGTGAATGTTTTTGTCTATGGTACAAACAGTGGCAAATGTTAATAGTAAAGGTACAACAAACCCTACATAAAAGAAAGAAAGGGAAAAAAAAACCACAAACAAAAAAAAAACTAACTATAGCAGCAAAAAAAAGAACTCCAACTTGTAAGAAAAAAGAAGAGAGTCATGTTCCATTCACAGACAAAAAGCCAATTTTTATTTCATTTGCACTTTTTGAGTTTTCTTTTGGCAAAATGTGGTAAATGAAAATATTTACAGCCTGGGTTTCCATAGAGCTCAGTACCTGATTTTCGTTCTTTCCTTGTTATGCTGAACATTGGGAGGCACTGGCAGCTCCTTGCACTGTGCTTGTCAGCGGAGTCCTGTGGGAAAAGCCGTGTCCCGTTGGCCCCGGGGAACGACGTGTGCTGGTGGATCCCTGGCGAGAAGGAAGGGTCCAGGGACAGGCAGTAGAGAGAGTCAAGGATGTGCCTGCGTTGTCCTTTTTCGTTCTGGAGAACAGTTGTGTTGCTACTTGTTGAGCTCTGCAGCTGTTGTTTGAGCAGCCTTCTCCTACCTGTGCCCACGGGACGTCCTCTCGCGTTAGGAAGCCCGCTGTACCTTCCTTTGTTGGGTTCTTGTTTCTTTTGTTATTGTCGATGTTGTTGTGAATGAGATGAATAATAATAATAATAACCACTAAAATGCCTAAAATACTTCCTTAAATCAAACAATGTTGTCAGCTATGTGGCATGTGTCACTAAAAGCCACCCCACAAACACAGCCTACTCTTGTAGCGAGATGCAGTTGCTCCTAAGCAGAGTGTGTCCTTGCTGACGGAAGGGACAGATTAGCAGAAGGGAAAAAAAAAAGGAGAGAAGTTTCATATCAGGGCCTATTATTACTTCTATTTTGAATATTTATACTGCTGCTCCAATGGAGCCAGTTGGATCTATTTCTACGAAATAGCCGTTACCTATCCCATGGCACAAAAACTGCATGAGTATTTTTTAGGAACTTTTCCTGTTGTTGTGCATTAAATACTGTAGTAATCGTAGCTTTGCATCGTGTGTGAAACCCGGAATACCTTGCTTTGATGTCTGTGTGTTGTGCTAGAATGTTCTGCGAGTCGCTTGCTCTCAGCAGAAGCAGAAGGTACCTTGAGCTGCCGCGAGCTGTGCCACAGATGAACTGCCCCGCGCCCCCGAGGTGTGCTCACCACGCGCAGCCACGTCAGCGAGGGCAGGCCCGCTTTGGAGTGTGACAGACCCACTGAATGTGCACCTCCTGGTTGTGGTTGCTGGAGGAGCCCACCCCTCTCACGTTTGTTAGCATAGCCAAAGCCTGTGGGAAAGTCCCCAAAGCAAAGAACCAGCAGTGTTTGCCTTCTTCCTGAGCTCCCCAGGGCTGGCACGGACAGTTCCATTCGGATGCAGTGCGTATCCATAGCTTTACTGAGTCTGGCAGGGGCCTGCGTTCTGAGGGGTTCTCCCCTCACAAGCTTAGACTCTGGAAGTCCCCAGCTGTGCTGGAGGCCATCCAGCACCTGGCTCCAGTCTCCCAGTGGGAAGCCCTGCTGTGCCCGTTGCTGCCCGAGCCGTGGGCCGTCACTGGGATGTGGGGCCGCAGGAACCGGCCAGGCTGGCAGAGCCTTCGGGGACTGGGGCCGTGGGTGGCCAGGGGGTGCTGACTGGGGGAAGGAGGGAGTTCGAGGGGCTGGGGAGGGGGCAAGGGTTGGGGGGCTGGAGAGAACCACTAGTGAAGCTGGGCTGGTTAGGGCTGGGGGTTTTAGTGTCATTGTGATTCATTTGCAGTTTTATTCTTCTGAAAGCAAGGGTCACCTTCGTGTCCGAGGCTGCTCTGGTCTTTCCACCAGTCAGCTGTTTTTGTTACCATTCCTAGTGGCTTCAGTGGATTCTAAATGAGTATTTCAAAGGGAGATTAAAGAGCCTTTTCCTCAGTGGAGAGGCTTCACTGCAGCTCTGACTTTGACTTGCTGTCAGTATGTGATCCTTGGCTGGCTTCTGCTCGACATGGATGGCCTTCCTTCGACAGCAGTTCAAAGGCACAGTGCTAGGATGGGCTATGATTTGAGGTGGTCTGAAGACATGCTGGGAAAACTGCTTTTGTCCCTACCAAAGGTGAATTTTATACTTGCCTTTTTTTTTTTTTTAATTTTATTTTTTGTGTACTGCACTTTTTGGTAGTTTCTGCAGTAGGAGGACCAATCTGAAGTGTGTGCACAGGAGGAGACTTTCACTGGCATAATTTGTTGGTTTTGCTGTGATGTCACTTGCCTGCTTAGTTTTCAGCTTTCTGTCTTCAGCTGTGTCTCTGAAATCGATTAATTAGCTTTGGATTTATGATGATAGTGCTTGTGGAGAACGAGACGCGAGACTGGCTTTCTTTCCTGACAAAACAAGTCAGGTAGAACAGCAGTCTAGTTTTGGAAAAAACAATGTTCAAGGTAGGTGGAGCAACCTGTCAGAACAGGAATTTTTATATGTTTTTTTCCAAATAACCATGTTAATACTTGTGAGTAAAACCTACATTGAATATTGTTGAGTAACTTCTAGAAAACCATAGGTTTCTGCTGATTGACAAATGTTTCTTATATTAAGATTTTTTGGAAGCCCTAATCCTTTCAGTTAAAGTTCACAGAGATGCAGTAGTGTGAGGTTTATCTGTTTCAAAGTTTGACCACCAGAGCTTTAAACTTGTTTAAATATATACTTTAAAAATCAATCTCAATGGACCATGCTTACCTGGATTTAATTCTGCCCTGCACTCACGACGTTTCACTTGCTCAGCGGTCACTGCGAGTTAGTCTGAAACAGACTTGAATCCAGGTAAGAATGTCCCTTTCAGGTTGGTACAACTTTAACTGAATCAGTTTAAAGCCAGCTTTTACAGAAAGCGGGAGAAGTTTGAATTCTTGAAAGACTTCAGCCACTTCACTTCAGATTTAAGGAGCTGCAGAGTCTGGGTGTGCCGAATGGAGGCACCAAGCAGAATGCAAGGCTTCCTTTCAGGAAGAGAGTTTTCAGTATTCAGGGACTTGAGTGAAATGTGACCTTTGTTAAATCAGGGGGAGAACCCCAGTGACTGTTGTAGGTCAGTGATGTGTTTGCAGCAGTGAGTCCTGGAAAGGATGGGGACACTGCGTTTTTTAAAAGAGGAGTGAACTTGTTTTATTTTCTTACCTGAATAAATGAATGGCTATTAATACTACAAGCACCTTTAAGGGACTTTACATGGATATTCTGTTAGCACTTAGTGGCCTCAAATCTGAAGCATAGTTCTGAAATGCATCTACTTCTACCCAAACTACTTGGACTTGTTCGGCTGAATCTCCTCAACCGAGCTCAGGTGTGGACAAATCCATGCCTTTTGGAGAAGTTTACTTTAATTCACGGGGAAAGCAATGGGGTAAGAAATGACAGTGTGTTCTATTGTGCACTGGGAATATAAACTGGCTGTGAAATCGATTATTTGCTGGCCTGAAACAGCCTGAGATCTAGGCCAAGTTACCCAAGTTTGGGCAGAAGCATCTAATTTCAGGAAAGCTTCTAAAAAAGCACAGTTTGTTTAAAACAACAGATTTTTAAATGTATTTATATAGCTAAAATGACTTTATTGTGGTATATTTTAGGTAGGTTTTTGTTTTAATTTTTGTAATAGCCTTGCAGAACAAATTTTAAACCTTCCACACTGAAAAAACCTGACAGAAATCCTGTCAATCTAATCTTTGTCTGCCAGGTAGGATTTGAATGGTGCTAAAAGTCAACATGATAATTTTACAGCAGCAATTCAACGTAACATTTTCATTGCCAGTTGAGGGAATGTTGTATGCCCGAACCTGTGGGGATTGTTGCAGTTGGTTACAGATCTGTATAAATGTTGGGGTGTGCCATGACACCTTTTTCAAGAGCAGACATCCCTTTACGTCCAGCCTGCTTGCTCCCTCAAGATTTTGTCTTGCTCCTCGTGTTGCAAGGATTCAGAATTTTGCTTCCACTTTCTCATAACCTGAATCCCTCTGGCTTTGAAGGCTGACCCAGGTCCTGCTTAACACAGAGTGAATGTGCTGGGCTGGCAGGAGCAGTGGGGAGGTTTGGATCAGTCAGCTGCCGGGAGCAAACGCCAGGAGATCTTTGCTTGGCACAGGGATCTCCGACCCCCGGGTCACGCATTATACCAGAAACAGAACTGATCTAATGAAGGGGTTCTCGATCTGACCTGAGCCTTTTACACTTGGTGAAGCCAGACTGTGCTACAGGAGTTTTACTGAGGGTTTCAGTCATAAGTCCCTGTAATTCACTGGCAGGTTTTTAGCATTATTTTTTTTAAATGTACGAACAGATTTATATTCAAGCAACATACATACACACACATATATATATACTTAGTAAAGTATATGTGTCCAGTGTTGTTAAATTGAAGCCCTGTGGTAACCAGCTGTCTCTGCATAGGAACAAAGTCTTATCATGGCAACTGCTAGGATGCTGTAAGTGTCTGAGTATTTAAGATAGACTTACACATACCTATTCATAAACTCAAGAGATGGTTGCAGGCTTTTGTTTGTTTCCACGTTGTATTAGCCAAATATTGTGAGTGGCACATGCCAGTTGCATATCTTTAATATAGCAGGTCAAAAGCTTAAACAGCTAATCTGTGTCCATTCAGTAATATTTCTAGTTGTAATTACTGTTATTCATTTGAGGTTCCATTTGCTGAACATACAGACAGCTTTGAAAAAGCAAAAAGACCACGTGTGAGACACTGGGGAGGTCAGGAAATTCTATTCTGAAGTATTTATGCGTTTTATTTATTTATTTATCATACACGAAGAGCTGAGCCCCTGGTTCAGGAAAACATTTCTTCATGCTGGCAGAAGATTTAGGAACCTAATTTCAGGCCCTTCCTAAAGCTAAAGCCAGATTTCCATGGATCAGGGACCAAGCAGACTAAGCCATTAAAAGCATCATTCCATCCTTTTGAGTGTCCACGAAAAGTGGTAAGACCTTCTCAAATGCTTCTTATAACTTATATTAATAGACAAGCTGAGGAATCCCGAGAGACCCAAAGATGCTTCTGCAGTGCTCACCTCTTGATCTCTGAGAGTAGAAATACATAAATAACAAATACTCCTTGCACTCTCAGTGTTTGTAATATCACTGCCACGAGGTACCATTTGCAGTAATCAAAATTCGCATTTCATGTGATACCCACAAGTAGGTTTTTATACTTTTATTTTTCAGGATTTTTTTATTTTCTTGGTTATCTGCTTTCAGTAAGCAAGTAATTTTCCTTTGCCTGGTTTTCCACGGCTCTTTTTAACAGCACGTGATTGGCTCTGGTTAAATGTGAAGATCTCCCTAAAACAGATGCCAGCAAATGCTTGGGTGAAGCTCTGTTGTCCCAGCTTTTTGACAAGGTTGTTACCATTTACAGCAGGCAAGGACCTTCTGCCTCCAGATCCTGCAGGTGAAACAGTCCCAGCACTTGCAAACACACTTCCCCTTTTGCACTGCCTTGGTTTGGGTCAGGAGGTCTCCAGTGCAGAACAACAATCACATCATTGCTGTCAGTGTGGGTTACAGTAGGGCCTGTTAGTGGGAAATACAACAGCAACGATGGAGGGCTTTTGAAATGTATCAGAAGGGACTGGAAGCCTGTGTTTTGCCAGCTTCTAAAGACTTAGAGAATTGTCAGATTAGGAAGGAAAATAAAAGGAAGATAAAGGCTGATTGCAAACAGTTCAGCCTCAGTCTTTCATGAAGGTTTGTGTAATGTTCAAACTTTGCATAAAGCAGGCTCCCATGTTCTGTCAGGCACAGAGCTCAGCCAAGGTGTTCCTCCCTGGTGCTCAGGAACAGCCTTTTTCTCTCAGCAATTCTCACTGCTGAGCAGAACATCCATTTCTGTGTCACAGGATTGTCTGGTGAGATTGCTTAGGTGAGGTGAGCAAGCGCAGAGCTAGAACCACAACAAAGAAGCCAAAGCAAGATGTTTGTGGAATAACTTTGTTCTGAAGGATTTTTTTTTGTTTAAATGGGTGCCAGAAGCAAAGGACACAAAGCATGATTCTGTAATTATTCAGCACCCACGGAAAGCAAGTGCAAATGAGAGTGGTGTGGCATCACAAAAAGCTGGCTGTTGTGTAATTAGGATACTGGCAAGTTTTGCAAGGCTTGCATTTACATGGAGATTTGCTTGGATAGTACTTGATCCTTACAGCTCTAGGTCTTTCATCAGGAAAGGTGACAAGTACTTTGTCCCTTTGTTAGGGAGAGAGAAAAAGAGATGTCAAACCAATGTTTTCAACTCCTATGGGAGCTGCAAACAGTACAGTAGAGCAGTCTTGTGTCTGAGGTGAGCTGGTGTGCAGTGAACTTTGCAGTGCATTGAAGATTTAGGGACAAATTTTACTTTGTGTCTCCTTGAGGAACAGTGTGATTGACTTCACTGTCTGCCCTTGTAGAGCTGAGAATCCTCACTAGGTCCTTAATGCAGCAGTATGTGTGAGAGATGACTAAAGGAAGGGTAGGTTACCTTCATCCTCACATCAATTGTTTGTTTTCAAAACTGAAAGCAAACTAGGGAGATGTTTGTATGTTTTGGGGGATTTCGGTTTTGTTTGATTTTTTTGCTGGGCAATCTGAAATCTCTGGACAAGGTCTGGGGGTGGTTTGGGTGTTCCTCTTACTGGTGCATCCATCAGAGCTTCAGCCAGTGGGACATGCAGGAGGACAGGTCCATGGTTCCCCTGGCCCCAGACACAGGTGCGTGTCAAGCAAACCCTGCAGAGGAAAGGTCACTTCTGCTGAGGACCCCAGCACAAGCCTGGTGATGGGAATTGAGGCACAGGTAAATCAGGATCCCACTAGAACAAAAAGGTGAGCAGGCAGAGCCGTTAGTCCTCAAGTATGTTGCACAAGTTGCGTGGTCCCCCACCCTCCGGTGCCACCCCCTCCTCCCTGGCTCATCCAGCAGCTTTTTGGGCCAGGCTTTCCTTAGGTCAGCGCTTCCCATAGCTCCCATTGTGCACTGCAAGGTGTGTCTGTGTTCTCAGAGCTGTTAGGCCGCTGCTCACTGCAGAGGGCAGTGGGTGCTGTTGGGTGCAGGCTCTCCGGAGAAGCTTCTCTTGGTTCTTGTTTGCTGGGAGGGTTTGGCCTGTGGTGCCCCTGTGCTGGGCTGGCTTTGCAGGGATGTCCCTGTAGGAGTGAGTCGGCTGCTGTGGGGACAGGTGGTTTCTTTGCACAGAGGGGCCACTTCCAGGCACTTGAGCCTTTTCCAGAGCCAAGCCCCAGCTGCTGTGTGTAGGTGGGGCTGTCTCTGTGCTGCTGAGCCCAGTCAGAGCCAGCCCAGCTCTGTGGTCAGCCTGGCGTCACTGAGGCACACGGGGAGAGCCCAGTGCCAGCTCTGTGTGTCTGGGGGTTCAGTCACCTCATGGCCCAGCAGTCAGCTGTTCAGGATCTGATAATTTGATGGAGCTGTAATGGAAAAGTTGGTTTGACATTGTTACTGGAGTCTTAGGCCGTTGAATGCAATAGCTGCTGTGGCTGGTTCTGAAGCAGACTGCTGAGACCATGCCAGTCTCTGAATCGTGGGCAGGATGAGTTCTCTGCTTTGTGGTGCTGTCTGGCATCCGAGCTGCAGGAAGCACAGCAATAAAAGTGAGTGAGAGGAGCACCTTTTGTTTGACTGGGGATCAAATGACACTGTCTGGGTTCCTTCTCTGGGGGAAATTCTGTGATGCTTCTAACCACAAGGACGAAAACGTAGGTGGAACTGAGTGCAAATGCACATATAATGTGTGTTCATTTACAGCCAGCCAGAAAACAAAATAAGCAGTGGTTTCTAGTAATATGGTTCTACTCAAAATAGCTTTTTATTAAGTCAGCTTGAAAGTGTTAAAACGGTGGAGCCATAGACAAAATATTTGTTACCTTTTGAAATGAGTTACAATGGTTTTGTCATACTTGTACAGGTATTATAAGGTCAGTCTTTCTGTATGTTTTATAACTTATTGTAGAATAGTCTTCTATGCATAGCTGTTCCACTTGCCTGTGTAAGTTACAAATCTAACAGAAATGAAAGCATGCATTTTTCTCTGTTTGCTGGTAACCTATGAAATTAGAAACTTGTATTTCTGTGTTTTTAATGTGTTATACTATAAAGAAAATTCACAGCACTATTGTCTATGGAATATCAAAAAGTTTTATTAGAATGAATTACTTTAAATGTTTTGTCAATTGATTTAATAATGTGTCAGACATCTACACTAAGACAATATAATGTTTATCAATAAAAATATCCTCTCTTTGTACTAACTTGATACTTCAGGGTGTGCTTGGACATAGGAGTAGAGCACCCCATGGGTCTCAGTCCCAATGATTTATTCATTTTTTGCATAATTGTGAGAATACTCTGTACCCCTTATTTGATCTCATCTTTGGATTAGGGAGTGAAGGAAGAAGAAAAGCGAGTTTTTCTGCTTTGTATTTCCTGTGCCCCTGGGGGTGTGTGTGCTGTGAGGTGTGTGCAGCACAGCAGTTCCCCAAGGAGTTGGCCGGCTCGTGGGACGTGTTCGTGTTGGAGGCCGTGCAGAAACAAACACTGTGGGAATTTTATTTGCTGTTGTAGGAGTCAAATTCTGCTCTGTTACAATACAAATCTGCAATTACTGCACTGATGTTACTGTCTTCCAGCGTAGGTAAGTGGGAGTTGATTGTCACTCTCCCAGCTGGCGGATTCTGTGCCTGTCACCGCTCAGCCGTTGAGAGCCAGGGTGATGAGAGCCAGTCCTCCCTCTGAAGCTGTTCCTGGAGTAATATTTTGAGTAATGCTTGGAATAACAAAGAGGGAGAGGTGCTATTATAACAGTTCTGATGTGGCCAGTTTCCAATAGGTGCTGCAGAGCACTTGTGGACAGGGATGTTTAGAAGCCCATGCTTTGAGAGAGGGAAATACTTGTGCTGCTTTTCTACTCTGCACCAGCTGAGAAGAAGCTGCAAATTACCCCCTAACTCAGCCTCTCTTGGTGACTTCCTTCTACCTCATCCCATGAGACGGTTGGGACACTTCAGCTGACCCCCCTTCCCATTATACTTTCCCTGACAGAAGATTCTGAGATCCTTGAATGAAAAGGCATGTAATTGGGTCTGGCTACCTCACCTAAACCACTTTTGCTTGTGTCTTTGTAACAGCTGCTGACAAAATGATCTGTTTCTTCTGAAGTGCCCACCACGTCCACGAGAAGCAGTGGTGTATCTTAGGCAGGGTGTTTACTTACACATGCACAGCTATTTCCAGGTGCAGAGGAGTCCTGCAGTGCAGAAAAAGCACACATGCTGATCTTGCACCTCTGTCCAGGAGGGCAGAGATGAGGTGCAGCCTTTGATGTTAATGCAGAAAATGTCTTTCATCAGTGCAAGCCCAGCAGTTGTCTTGAAAATATTTTCCATTGGTATGATTGTTTGCTTTCCAACTCTGCGTGCTGGCAACCCAAAACATATGTTGGAATCCATACAGATGCTGTGTCTCTGTAGATAATTCCCCATGACTCGTTTTCTGGTTCAAGGATAATCTTGCTTCTTGTCACAATTTGGAGCAGTTCCAGTTGGTTGTTGGAATCTGAAGATACTCTCACTCCTTACCCCCTGGCACGGTGATATGCCAAATATGCATCCTTTTTGAGTCTGCCTTGTGATTACTTCACATTAGAAAAATTTGGTGTAACTTGCAGCTTGGAAAGTTAGAGATTGGTTTTCAGAGATCAGGGAGTAATTGAATTTCTGACCACTTTCATTAAACTTAGGGAAATCTGAGTGTGAAGGCAAGCCATCATTGCTTTCACTGGTGGAGGTTGGATGAGTACATATTCATCTTCATGTATTCACTTTTGCTATGTTGTCTTTGCAGTTACTCTTCAGCCATCACAAACCCTGCCTAAGCAAAGATGTGGATTCTTAGTGCAGAACAAAAAAAAAATGAAGCACAAGTACAAAGTGGTGAAAAGAAAACTAACTGTTCTCTCCCACCTGGCCATCTTTATCCATCATAAAGATACAAAACTAGAGCACAAATCCTATTTATTATTCCCTTTGGGGGTCACTTCTGGCTTGCTTTACAGAGGCCAGACTTGTGTCTTTGCTACCCCAAAAGCTATTTGCTTTGAAATAAGAGACCTGTTTTCTGTAAGTTGTAGATAATAATCTCCCTCCTGGCTCTGCCCAATTGACTTGGACCTGTTTATTCCAACAGAAGGAGTGTGTGATTGCAGGGCAGGACGAGGGGCTGCCTGGTGTCCTGAAGCAGTGGGGTTGTGCATCTCAGGAAGGCTGAGGCATTTCCATCCAGCTCTGTCACAGCCCTCAGGGTTTGGCTGCAGGCATCTCCCAGCTCCAGGTGAGACTTCCCACCTGAGGTTTCTCCCATCCTTGCATGAACATGTTAGGACGTGGAATCCTGGACATGTCAGCTGCTCCCTGGAAAACAGCTGATGAATGGTTAGAGCTGTTAGTGCCAAAATAAAATTATTTGGCTGCCTAAAGTGGGGCAGCCTTCAAGTTGCTGCTGGGCTGCACAGCTCCTGAGATTGCTGCTCCCAGTCCTTGGCACTGGGAGGTGGATGCACACAGGTACTCCCAGCACGTGATGCTTTCCCAAAAGCTGAAGCAGAGGCAGCCTGGGGCTGTGCCTTGGAAGGGCAGAACGGAGACCCAGGGGCAGGAACTGCAGGTACGTGGATTTTGTGCATTTTTCCTCCCTGCTGCAGTGGGGATCGGCCCTCTTGGCACAGTTGAGTGTCTTCCCGCTTCCTGTCCGGCAGCTTTGAGCAGGCTGAGCATTCAGGGAGGAGGAGGAGGAGGAGGCTGATCCTCAGCCCCCGAGTGTCGGGAACAAGCGGTGCTCTGTGCCTGGCGTGAGGCTTTGCAGTGCCAACCAAATCACTGGAGAAGAGTAGCACAGAATGAACAAAAACAATTGAATGCCACAGCCTGGAGATAGCAGGTGCAGTGAAACCACTTCAAACTGCTCATACAAGAAGATTTTACAAGTAAGCCTTTAAAGAATAATGGGGAAAAAATAAGTAGCATAATTAATATATCAACTGCAGTGGAAATGTCTTAAAACAATTAGTATTTTAAAAAGAGAGCTCTGCTTTGTATGTGAACTTAAATCAACACTTGTCCTGCCTAAAATTCTTCTGTGCTGACTGCAGGGAGGGCTTGGATAGAAGTGTATTTTCTAATGTTGCAGAGCAATGCCATCTAGGGCATAGAGCTTTACAGTTACCAACAGGACTGCTATCCATCCTTAGTGACAGAGCTTCCTGGGCTGAATATTAATAACTGGTTCATCACCTCTGCATTAGGCCTGTTGGGACGTGCTCATTTTCCATATCTGCTTCCAGTTTTCTGAACTATGCTCTTGTCAGTTTTTAATGGATAGTTTTGTCTCCACTGGAACATAGTGAATTTCTGTACGTACCTTAGTTCCTCCTGCAATCCTCCTGTTAGCTTCGTCTGTGCAGCACAGCAGGCATTATCAACGGTCTCTCTAATCTTCAGCTACTCGAAGAATCCACCCTGGCTGTGATTAGAGCCACGATACATTTAGGCAGTAGATTAAAATACTAAACCTAACAGGCCAGATCTCGTCATCCTTATTCAAAAGCTACTTAGTGTGTTACTGAGGTTCTCCTGTTGAAACCAAGCTGCCTGTAGAACGCTGGTCTGCATTAACTGAAAACACCTCAAGAACCTGGCCCAGCTGCAGCTCTGTCCTCACTCCTGGCTGACACAGCTCTCTCCGGGCTGAAGGTGAGGTGCCAAATACAAGGTAAGAACCTGCTGGCTTTGGTGGGCGTCTGTGGCAGTAACGAACCCGGACTCACACGTGATACATTTTACCCAGTATCTTGTCCTCCTCCTTCATCCCGTTTGACCTCATCATGCTTGGCCTTTCTAAGGAATGGCAGCAATATTTAGTGGCACTTTAGACTCTGCCCCCCCTGGAGAACAGCAAGTGCTTTAACTCTCAAATCAGTCTCAGGACATTCTTTAAACTCCCAAGGCTGCACCAGCTTCTGGACCAGCCAGCTTCTGCCCTCTTCTGTGAGAGTTACACTTGGAGCTGGTGATCCTCAAGTTACTGGCCTTGTGTGAGTTTGTTGTTTTTACAACCAGCTTCAAACTGAAGGCAAAAAATACTTGACTATAACTTGAAAACACACGGGGAAATGTTAATCCTTCACTAATAAAGACAAGAGCTTTTAACAAAGCTACAAGCATTCTTTCCCCTCCCCTTGACTAATGGCATTCTTGTTGCTATCTGAGCAAAGAGGGGGCCTGGTTCTCCTCCAGGTTCATAGTCTGGTGTGGCTGCCAAGAGGTTAGAACGGTAGTGCTTATGGGCATAAAAATGCACGCACACTCCTGCATAGCGAGGCACTGCAAGTCTGGGGAAACAAGAGTTGGATGTTAACAGTGTTAATTAAGAAGCAGAAAGTACATTGGTAACTAAATTTTTACAGTGTCTACTTAAACAGTGCACTGTTTAAACACAATGCTGAAGTGACAAATAATTGGTTCATCAGAGTTCTCCCTGGTGATTTGTTGTCCCATAAATTGGTATGGTATATGTCACTTTTCATTGTAACTGGAGATTTGAAGCACAGATTACTTTATTTAGCAAACAGTTTTACAGCCAGGCTACTAACACTGTCTTTTTATTTCTTTGATAGCGTAAAGATGAAAGGAGGACTCACAATCATCACTTTCCTGCAAGTTAAGACAGTTGTGCAAGAAGGACTGGGAATGCCAGCCTGTGTTTTTTGGAAGGTGATGGGAGCATGCTCTCATGTGCCAGGACCCCATCCACCACAGTGAAGGCAGGGGCTGGTTTATTGGGTACTTGATACTTCCGAGTGCTTTAAAACTGATGTCCAGACTTGGAACAACTCAAGTTGCTGTGCTTCAGTGCTGGGTCTGAGATGGCATCAGTGATGCTGAACGCGGGTGGGCTCAGGAAGCAGTTACCCAAACACAGGCCCTACCCCCATTCTCTCCTACCCACAGAGTGTCACATAAAAAAGATATGGGTTCAGTTTTGGGATCAGAACATGGCTCTGATCCTTCCCAAGTTCCTGAGGATTACTCACAGCTAGTGTCTGGCAGTCATTGTCTCCCTGGTCCGAGGTCTCATCACTACTCTCACGTTGCTTTGGCTCAGGCTGTAGAGAATGGAATAGCTTTTGGCAGATACAGAGCTGGAATGAGCTCTCATTGGCAGCTGGAGGCTTGTTCTTACGCCTCCCCTTCTTGCTCCCAGATCTACTGAGGCTGCTGGTGAGGAGGTGGATCAGATGCTGTGGCCCTCACATCTTACACAGTGCTCAGAGAGGGCAGGACGTGTGTGGTGTCTTTGCATTACTTGGCCTGCACTCTGCAAGGGCTTTCTGAGAAACTTGGGGTTCTGGTCTACACACTCTCTGGGAGCTGAGATGTCAAAGTGCTCACACATCCCTGTATGGAGACATATTTTATTTAGTAATTGCTTTCAAAAAAATACTTGAAAATTAAAGAAAGGGAAGGTGAAAAGTAAGCGCTGCTGAGCTGGAAATGCAGCATTTCCACTTAGTCATTTCCTGGCCGTCAGGAAGACTAGGTGCTGTCAGATCTCTCATCAGAGCCCCACCACAGAGTACTGATGTGAGGGAGTGTTGAAAAGCTGCTGGCCAGACCTACTTTCATGGGCCAAAGTGAGGGAAAGGAAGAGGTGGAACAAGGCAGGATTCTGCCTCACTGTCCACGGCAGGTCATGCCAGAGCACAGAACAACTCAGGATCCCAATACCAGCCTTGCTACCAAAAACTAGTCTTGCAGAAAAACTAGTTGGTTCAGCTCTGTGGGGTTTTGTTCACTTGCTGGTTAGTGGGTTGGTTTAGTGGTTTTTTTTCTTTCCGTGTGTGTAATTATGTCTCCTCTGCTCACTGTATGAAAAGGTAATTAGGAAAACTAACCTAAATATCTTAATCTCTTCTGCTCTTAAGCAGTTTTTGTTGTGCCTTCTTTCATGCAGTTTGATTCCCATCTCTCTCCTCCCTTGCTATAAAACACAGCTGAGTGCAAATCAGAACGAGAAATGCAGCCTGACGGCCGAAGTGTAATGTGCATAATACTGCCAAGGGTAAGAATTTGAATGTACTGAAGTAATTGCTGTCACATGCTATAAGCTGAAACACACATCATGTTTTCAGGTGAGAAGAGATCACTCTGAAACCACCAGAGGCTGGGGGTGGATGCACCTCCATGGCTGGGAGATGGCACAGGTGTCCCTGTAGTGCAGCAGCAGTGCGTTCAGCTTGCAGGAGAGAGAGCCCCGCAACTCATCTGTCTTTCCTGTAAAAAGGTGCTGTAGTTTCTCTTCTCACTCCCACAGAGCTCACAGCAGTGTGACAGGCATCTAAGACAGGAGCCAGTGCAAGAGGAAAGTCTCTTGATGTAGGATGTAGGAATCTTGGCTCCCATGAGAGAAGCTAGCTGAAGGAATTAATAGTTGCTGCTCCTTACTGCTGTTGCCACAGTGTGACAACAGATAAACACATCTGTTTTCTATCCCCTCAATATACTCAGGAGGCTGAAGATCCATCCCAGTAACACTGTTCTCCTTTGTACTCATGATGTGATTTTTATAGCTAAAGTACATACTGCCCAGGCCCAGTCCAAACCCAATTCCATGAGAAAGCTTCCCTCATCTCTCCAGGGTATATAATACAGCAAAGTAACAGCTTGGGCAAAGCTATGTGCCAGCCTTGTCCAGACTAGACAAGTGCTCTGGGGCATCCCACCAGTGCTTAAAGCCTTCTGCCTACACGTCGGTCTCTGCCCCACACCCACATGATGGGAAATACAGCCCAGCCGTTCAGGGCTTGGGAAAAACTGCTGTTCTTCAGGCGTACTGTATGTATAGAAAATCATGCCAAGCCCAACTCCAACTCGCAGCTGGATTGAGGGGAGGGGTGTCAGTCAGGGATAAATGAGAAACACAAGCCATGAAACTTGACCCCAGACTTTGGGTTCTTCAAAGGCTATATGTGGCAAAGGCTTTCCCAGTGAATTTCCTCCAATCCTTAGAGGTCAGTTCTGCTCCAGTTTGGCAGGGCTGCCTATATGCTAACCTGCCTCTTGTTTACTGCCTTGTTTGCTCTTGTTTTGCTCTATGGCTGGCAGGCACCTCAGTCAGCTGCTCTTCAATGCTTTTGGGGGGCAGCAGTGGCTCCCCTCCTCTCTGTAAGGGCGGCCAAGAGCTCTGATAGCTCTGCCAAGCCAGGCACTGCAAAGCTGGACTTCAGTACCATCTTCTAGGCTGCCTGAACAAAAACCAGCAGCTTCCAGAGGACTGAAAAGTCAGTCATGATACAGCTTGTGATAAATGCACTGTAATGTCACAGTTCTGTGTGGTATTTATGCAGGTGGAGCAAGTTTCAGAGACCCTGGAGACAGCTTGCAGAACTCACTGCTGCTGTCACAACTGGCAAGCAGGATTGCTTTGGCTGCCTCCAGCTCATGCCAGGAAAGTTTCCCACCTTTGTGTCAAAAGGCAGCTATAGGTTGCATGAAAGCTGCAGCAACAGAAGCTGCTCAGCTGCTCAAGATTAATGGCAACTTTCATGGAGGCTGTGGATTAATATAAGTATCACCCTCTTGGAAAAAAGACAGCATTCCTTCATCCTGCTTCCTCAACCCTAGGTAGGTATCCACTTTCATTTTAATGGTCTGGATTTTGGAATTGCTTATACCCCCTTTAAGCAGGTTTTTCTACTTCTGCGTGTCTTTGAATGTGTTCCTAACCAGGCTTGGCACAGCACCTGCCTCCTCGCTGTGGTCACTGGCATTTTTAATGGACACTCTATTTACAGAGGAGGCAGCTGCCAGAATGCAAGGGAAATGTTTGTTCTCATTGTTTTGTTACTTAAATAACTTGCACTGAAATAATTCTAATCAACTCGTGAAACACTGAAGTGCAGGGATCCTGGAACGAGCTGTGGAAAATGCACATTTTATAACGGCATCGATGCTGTGATTTCTCTTATCCAGCTCCTTGGCCCAAGTCGGTGACCCGAGCCCGTGGGACAGGGAGCGGTCTGTGGGAAGGAGACCCCGGCCCCCGAGCAGGTAACCGCGCTGGGACGGGGCCCGCGGTGGCGGAGCCGCCCCGGGGCCGTCCTGCCGGCCGTGAGCTGGGCCTGCTCCCAACGCGGGGTGCCCTGGCTCTGCCTCGGCCCCGGCTTTGGCCTGGCCCGGCCCTGGCCCTCTCCTGCCCCGGCCCGTGCGGGTCACTGCCCCGCTCCCGGCCCTGCCCCGGCCCGTGCGGGTCACTGCCCCGCTCCCGGCCCTGTCCCGGCCCGTGTGGGTCACTGCCCCGCTCCCGGCCCGTGTGGGTCACTGCCCCGCTCCCGGCCCTGCCCCGGCCCGTGCGGGTCACTGCCCCGCTCCCGGCCCTGCCCCGGCCCGTGTGGGTCACTGCCCCGCTCCCGGCCCTGCCCCGGCCCGTGCGGGTCACTGCCCCGCTCCCGGCCCTGCCCCGGCCCGTGTGGGTCACTGCCCCGCTCCCGGCCCTGTCCCGGCCCGTGTGGGTCACTGCCCCGCTCCCGGCCCGTGCGGGTCACTGCCCCGCTCCCGGCCCTGCCCCGGCCCGTGTGGGTCACTGCCCCGCTCCCGGCCCGTGTGGGTCACTGCCCCGCTCCCGGCCCGTGTGGGTCACTGCCCCGCTCCCGGCCCGTGCGGTCGCGGCCGCGGTCCCGCCCCGTGTGTCGGAGGGCGGTGCGGGCGCGGCGCAGGCGCAGGCCCGGCCCGGGGCAGCCGGTCGGGGAGCGGAGCGGGGAGCGGAGCGGCGGCGCTTCCCCGGGCGGCCGGGCCGGCTCCGGACAGCGCTGCCGCCGCCGGGCGGGAGGTGAGCTGGGCTGGGCTGGGCTGGGCGGGGGTGAGGCGCGGGTGGTCGCGGCTGGCCGGGGGCCGCGGGGGCCGAAAGCGCCGCAAGAGCGGCCGGGCCGGGCCCAGACGAGCCCGCGGGGCAGCGTCGCCCTCCGCCCCGGCCGCAGCCGCTGCTCCCGGCCCCTTCCCCGGGCCCCGCGGGCCCCTGCTCGTGTGCGTCCCGCCACCTCCCTGTCCCCTCCGGTGTCGCGGCCCCGGGCACTGCCGCGGGCAGGAGCCCAGCCCGGCTCCACGAGGAGCCCTCGGTCCGAGCCCCCGCTCCCTTTGCTGGCTGGAACAGGGGCTCCCGGGGCCCGTAAGAGGGGGATGCAACGTGTATCTTGTTGTGTCTTCTGAAATATTTCCTTGCAAGTGTTGTGGTAAAAGTTTTCTTTTGGGTCACGCGGATGTGCTTTGGTAGATGTAGAAGAGCAGAAAGGTGTACTTTGTTAGCTTTGATTCGTCTTCTCGTCCTTCCAGGCCACCCACCTCCGATTTGTTTTATTTGCTTCTTTCCCAAAGTGTAGCTCTTAAGCCCTTTTAAGTAAGGAACATCTTCTGTGCCTTCGCCAGCACAGCTGTGTTGATGAGGAGTGAGCAAAACGTGATTTCCAGCAGGTATTTTTGTAAGGGCAAAAGCCCCGGGGGCGAACAGGACTGTGCTTGCCGGAGCCCGTTCTCCATCAGGGGATAGACTGGGGTAAGCGCTGAGGTGCTTGTCTGGCGACTGGAGTTAATGGTACCTGCAGAGGTGTGTGTGGGCTGTAAGGCTGATGGGGCAGTGCTGGGACTGGCAAGGACTCAAGCCATGACTCTACCACTCCACAACAGCTCTGTCTTCAATTCAGCTGTGTCTGCACCGACCCTGTGAGTAATTCTCTGTTCTGCTGTGATAAAAGTATGCTAGTATAGCTATGGAACTGAGCTCTTGCCTTTCCTCGGGCCAGATCTATGTTAAGTTTCATTAGTTTTAGCTTTAAAAATATTAATTGCTTACTGGGGATCTGAATATTTAATTAGATGAGCGGGAAGAAGTGGGATGAGGCCATACTGGCCAGGGATCTGCTGGCACAGCTGGATAAGGTGTGTTGGGGGGCTCTTATGGGTGACTGGTGGATCCCTCTGTCACCCTACTGCGCTCCCAGCCAGCTCGATGTCTCTCGCTCCACCTCTGAGGCCCCACTGGCTCTTTTAGGAGTCTCGGGGGCATTTTTGAGTTGTTTGTAAAACTAGTCCAAGCCGTAGTTCCTGAGACACTGAGTGAGCAGTAGAGTGACCGAATTTTTCAGAAGGGTCTTACTGCTTTCAAACAAACAATAGAAAAAGGACAGAACAGTGTCGTTACTGTAGCAGTTGAAGCACTGCTGTTCTGTGCTAATGTGGCTGTCACATCGTGGGGCTGAGCGAGGTAATTCATCTCCCGTCAGCAGGAGGGGGTTGCTGCAGTACTGCATGCAGGAGATATGGTCTCAGTTCTGTTCTTAACATCTTAGCCAACCCTTACAGGGCTTATTAGCCCTGTACAATTACTAAGGGGCTCTGTATGAGGAGGAGAAAGGGGCTCAGCAGCAAAATCCTGGTCTTACCTTCCAGATATAGTGACTTCAAACACTGAGTGGAGCAACGTAAGGAAAACTGGTTCTCTGGTTAAATGTATTGCGGGCTCTGTGGTTGTGCAGGACTTGCCTGTGGCTCTGATAAACGCTTGGCATACCACACAGAGCTCGAGAATAAGAGGTTTATGTACCTCTAATCTGCAACTGGAGATTTATCAAGATGTGTCTCAAAAAAACCCTCTAAAATTCCTTAGTAAAGAGTTGTGTGGGGAGAATGCTAAGTAGAGTCAAGAGTTGCCAGTTGCTATTTGTTTTATTTGGGTCATTTATCATCCAATTAGTAGTGCCTATCACAAGAGGGGATGGAAGTGTAACTAAATATTTGGAAGCCCGTGTTAAATTGAGTCATTGTGTAACAAAGCACAGAGGTGATGTAGTATGAGTCAGATGGATACGAGGCTCTAATTTCCAATGTGTGTCTTAGTTCAGAACACCAAAGGTAGATTATTCCTCACACATAAAATGTGTAAGACACTTAATGCAATACAGTTATCCCATGTGTTCTTACAGGGCACGTTACTGGCAGCTAGAAAGGATGTCACATCCACTTCTTGGCATTTGTGGTGCTTGTGATCGCGAGTAGGACATTACTGGTACCCGATATTCTACCACCTGCGGTTACCCAGTCCTAAGGGGCACTGGTTCAGCTTACCATGCTTGTTTAGGAGTCTTGAACACTTGCAGCTGGAGCAGGACAAAGAGAAAGAGCTGGCAGGGGCATGGAATTTTCTTTGTGTCAGCTGCTGTGAGCCATGACAGGGTTTGTTTGTGGAAGGGCGGCCGCTGCCGCTTCACGTTCTTGGCTGTAGGGTCTGAAGTGTGTAAGGGCTCTGATCCTGCTTTTGGTTTGGGCCCCGTGTGACACTTACCTGGCAGAGGTATGTCTTTTGAATGCTGAATCAGGCCCAAGAGCTTGGTTTTATCCTTGTAACTTTTGATTGCCTTTGTAGTTTTTACGAGTCTATGTATGTAGAGCCCACAGTTAACTCTTTAAAATAAAACTGAAAATTCTACGGGATGGCTAAAGCCGTATTTCTACCTTGAGATCAGCAGAGAGAAACTACACATGAAGGAAAAGACATTGTGGAGCTGCAGTCACGTTATTTGAGTAGGTTCATTCTAGTTTTTAGGAAATATTGATCTAAACAATTAGTTCAGGTGAAAATTACTGAGCATTAATGCTCTACTGTTCCCTTTGGAGCTGGTAGGGATTTTACCATCAGCATGAGTATGGGAGAGAAATATGAAGATCTCACCATGGTAGAGTGAAAGTAGCAAAAGGAAGTTATTGGAGTCCCACCAGTCCTGTGGCAAGAATAAGTATTTTGTGGTGTGTAATTGTCATGTTATTTGGAATTAATGAGCCCATTTGTGTTGGGTGTTGTGTGAGAAGAGAGGTGATGATGCTGTGCCACAGAGGATGCTGCTCTGTGAAGATTGTGTATAAAGAGAGTTGGATGAGGCGAGGGAAGTGCTTTTTTCCTCCCAGTCGTGGAACAGGGTTTCCAAGAGAGCCTTGTAAATGAGTGTTCTTGGAAGATGTCTTATCCATGACTCGTCTCTGAAGAGAAGTCCTGCTTTGCACAGAAATAGGTGTTGTCTTCCTGACTTCTGAAAAGTCTGAAAGCACTGGATCATTTTTTGTGGTATTGAAAAACTAAGAGACAGATCTTTAGCTGCAGATTGCTGTTGCTCCATTACAACCAGCAGAGCACTGAAAATTGACTCTGGTGAGAGATGTTCAGTCATCTCTCCCAATCTCATTTGTGTACATTTTAGAGGCAGAAATAACTCTATTCTGAGGGGCTTTTCACAAAAAAAAAAAAAATCCACAAAATAAAAAAGCCTAAAACTATTCTTCCTCCTCATTCCACCAGCTCCAGAATGTGAATGTCATCTGGCCACATGCCCAGGACTAAACACAGTGCTCTGAACAAGGTCTCACAAGTGGCTTGTAAGGGAAAAGAAAAAGCCCCACAACAACCAGCGACTTTTTGGGCTTCTAAATGGTTCTCTTACTATTTTTTTTTTTACTTTTTTTTTTTAATCCAAAATAATGTCTTTGGCTTCTACTTTATATTTGCTGAACACAAATCTCTGCTTTCCAGGAATTAACTCCAGGGCTTCTCGATGCTGACTTGGTTGAAACGTGGTTCCAACGTGGAAATAACCCAAAGCCTTACTGGTTGTGCTTTCACATGTGCTGTGCATTGCATTTGCTGACATTCCCTTCCTTAACTTACCTGTGGATCTGTGGCCTTGTCTTCCTCTAAATCCTTTGGTTAATATTTTCTCTTAATTGGGTGAAGATTTTTGAGCATATGCCGAAAGATATTTAAATGCATTTGGGGGTGACTGTGCTGCCAGTTTTGGATCTGCTCGTGTGGGAAACTGGTCACCACTTTTTGCAAAGAAGCTAAGTTTTTAAATTGTATTTATCTCTTTTCATTTTCTTTTCTTTTCTTTTTTTTTTTTTTAATGCAACAACAAACCAAAACCATAACCATCATGAAAATAAACATGCATCCTTGTGCCAGCTGGGG